AAAGGGGCACCAGAAAGGAGGACTATAGTTATCATAGTCAGGTAAATGTATAATAGATGAATACAGCATATACGTTTCAATCTGTTTCACTCTGCCACACCAAAACGATATTCTGGAGATCCAATATTCTGGAGGTTAGATAGTCCGAAGGCCCGGTACTCGGAATATATGATTTGTACTAATGCTTGCATTTTTGTATTCTAAAAACACCCGACATTAGGAATTCGATAGATAGTCATATTGTACAGGGTACTTATATTGTAGTGTAATAAAAAGGAGTAATAGAAAATACCTTGCCGACACAACAATCCAGGTTCGACATCTCCAGAAAAGATATTGTGTCTCCTGTAGCTTCTACCCTTTAAGTGGCCATTGGCACCAATGTAATAAGAAAGAGTGAAGAGCGATGTCCTGCCATCTCTGGGGTTCGAACTATCGATCCTTCGACTTCCAGCTGGATACTCTATTTGATCCCTACGACAGTAGAAAGGGGAAAATCCTACTAGCCGGGGCTGATAAGGCGACATGTACTCTCAACTTCTACTCTAGAAAGAGATGATGGTGTGTAGACAAAGATCGTAGAATTCTTCAAGCATTATACAAAGAATGCTGGCATTCCATCTCACTCCAACTTATCATCAGTTCTTCGGTGGTATTATCAATAATTTCGACACTTTAATCAGACTTAAAACCTAAATTAATGACATTAACGTTCTATACTTTTCCTTGGAAACATCACCATTCATATAACGTCCCAGATTTATTACGTCACAACGGCCACAGCCAATCACAGCTCTCTCAGGTAAAAGCAAGGATTATTTATTTATGTGTTATCAGCTGATAACAGAGTGGTTACGTTTTCCACTGCACCTAAATGTTGCTCTCTGGGAGACTTATGTTGTCCATCGTTCTACATTTAAACGTTGCCTTTTGGTATGCCCACTCTTTACCTAAATTACCTAAATGTTGTCTTCAGATAGACCTCTTGTTGCTCACTAAAAACCTAAATGTTGTCCTCTTGTAGACCTCATGTTGCTCGCTGTATACCTAAGAGTTGTCCTAAGGTAGACCTCATGTTGCTCGCTGTATACATAAGTGTTGTCCTAAGGTAGATCTCATGTTGCTCGCTGTGTATCTAAGTGTTGTCCTAAGGTAGACCTTATGTTGCTCGCTGTGTACCTAAGTGTTGTCCTAAGGTAGACCTCATGTTGCTCGCTGTGTATCTAAGTGTTGTCCTAAGGTAGACCTCATGTTGCTCGCTGTGTACCTAAGTGTTGTCCTAAGGTAGACCTCATGTTGCTCGCTGTATACCTAAGTGTTGTCCTTAGGTAGACCTCATGTTGCTCGCTGTATACCTAAGTGTTGTCCTTAGGTAGACCTTATGTTGCTCGCTGTGTACCTAAGTGTTGTCCTAAGGTAGACTTTATGTTGCTCACTGTATACCTACGTGTTGCCATAGGTAGACTTTATGTTGTCCCTGTAAACTGTACTTAAAAGATTAAGCCTTCTAGTCGAATCACAGGAGGAAAATCCATATTGATGTACATGTAGAGAGGCATACATTTTAATACAGATGTGTGTCGAGCCGAAAACAATTGTTTTGCCCATTAGAATTATTCAATTGATAGGCTTAGATAGGATGTAACTGGTACATATGAATTACTGTTCTTCATTCATTCATATCTTTATTCCTCCATAAAAGAAGAGTTACAGATATTGTATGAAGAATTACATAATCATGGAAATAACATAGTTAATTTTCAATGAAACGGAAAGAAAAATATAGATATAAAATATAAGACAAATACATACTTAGAGACAAATATAAGATAAGGAAAACGAGGAAACTAGGGGAAGGACTCAAATTGCTACAAGGTAGAGGAATTTGAGGTTTCTCATAACAAAATGTAAGAAGGCATGCCTTTTCGGCAAAAATGCAACAGTCTTTTGAAAATGTAGCCAAGAGCAAATCATTCTCCTGGAATAAATCAGAAATAACGACGGGAGGGCTACCTAAGATAGTAGCAATTTGAATCTCTCTACACGAGTTCACAAGTGTTGCATAAACATTAACCGGATAGTCATTAATTATTTTAGTTAAAAAGAGGTCACGAAGATTTAAAAGCGTGACACTGGAACAGTCTAAAATACAATGACCAACTGCATCCTCAACTAAGAGCTGACACTGAGCACATGATAATTCGCAATTAGGCGGAATGCTCCGTAGCTTTGCAACTGTTTTACATGTTTTGTTTAACTGTGGGAAACATTTTGAGAGGTATCAAAGTGGAGATGGGCTTATCTCTGGCTGTAAATGTTTAAAACTACTAAAATCCTCACAGCTATTAAGGCGTTCACTCCACTCAGAAGAATATATACTATTCAAGTAGCCTTTTGTTAGGTATTTCCAGCGGTGCTTTGACGGGAAAACGCCTGATTGCAAAAAATGGTACAGAACGTCCTGCAAATCATACTTGTGAAAAAAATTCCATATATCTAGAATAATGTCATTTCCTTTACCCGGTAAACCAAAAAATATTTGGAAAAGTCTCTGTAAGAACAATTTCTTAACGGCTAAACGTGTGTCAGTTCTACATAAGGCAGCAAAAAATTGAAGTTTTGATGACTAAATATACAATCGCAAAGATGGAAGTCCTAACATACTAAGGGCAATGTCGGACCTGGTGCGCCGTGAAAAACCTTGCATAAGCTTAGCACAAAAATGGTGAACTGTTTCGAGACGAGTCCATTCAGATTCAGAAAGTGAAGACCACATATCACATCCAAAGATACTGCTCGGCATTACAACTGAATTATATAACTTTGCAGCTGTTAAAGGGTTGATGCCCGTACCAAATAAATTACAGTGGAGTAAGGCAAAACACTGCCCACGCAATTTGTGGACAATCTCGTCGACATCTGGACAACCAGGTTTGTACTTGTTCATAAAAATTCCAACATGTTTACAATTAGTAGATTCAGACACGGAATCTGGGCCAAGATTCCAATTTCTAGTAATTTTTGAAAAGACATTCTTGCTTTCGTTAAAAACAATCACTGTGGATTTTGACGCATTGTAACTAAATCGCCATTTGCAACTGTAGTCGTAGCAGATTGTCCAAACCGCGTTTACAAAGAGACAGCAGCGTAATGTCGTCTGCTTGAGTTGGACATGTAACATTTACACCATCAATTGATAAAGAATTTTTGAAGCACATAATTCAAGATTAAGCCTTCTAGTCGAATCACAGGAGGAAAATCCGTATTGATGTGCATGTAGAGGGGCATACATTTTAATACAGATGTGTGTCGAGCCGGAAACAATTATTTTGTCCATTAGAATTATTCAATTGATATGCTTAGATAGGATGTAACTGGTACATATGAATTACTGTTCTTGTTTGGTAGCCAACGGGAATGCGACAAGTCCTGCGATACTGCATGGCATACTCAATCACCAAGTAAAATTATCGAAGTTTTGTTGTATACTGGGAGCAGACTGTCTGTAGAACCAATATCATCTCTATATACATGTATGTGGTGACTAATTAAAAACGTAGCATTTACAGGATGTATTATAAGCACACATGTTTTTGATGACAGACATCCTCTAATAAGACTTAAAAACCATTCCCAATCGATATGTGCCGAGTCTTCTCTACTTGGTAATGATGTAATACATGATGGTAAATTGTATTGAAAATGTTCTGTTGATGATTGTCTGGCCTATTTTCTGACATGCAAATAACGAATGGTGGCCTAGCTTTCAAGTTGTAAGGAACTGGAATAATTAGCAGTTGTGGGTGTTTTAAGGTTTGTATTTACGCATTCCCATAATTCCACAATAGGGTTCGACGCATCCTTGTTAACCAGGAACAGGTAGGTGTTCCAAGTTCACATGGGGGGAAACTTGTGTAACACACAAATAAGATGTAAAACTGATGATATAGAGTTACAGTTGGTATTTCTTTGATCTCAACTTTTATTTCACTTTTAACTTTTGTTTTATATGTTTTATCCGTACACGTCTGTGGTCTGGCTTGTTAGATAAGAGACAGGATGATAGATTGGATATAGAGAGTTCGGTATGGATTACCTGTCCCTCATAATAAATGAATTGAATTTGACCCACAATCTTGCATTCTCGGCCCAATCAGCTGTCAAGATTGTGGTAACACGAAGGTCAGTAAATCTGGTATATCAGAATGGGGATGTCCGTGGACTCGGGATTTCTGGCAGGTTGAGAATTCAGTGCGTGAATGTTGCTTTTTGTAATTCACGTGATATGCTCCAACCTACTGTATCAGCAACAAAATGGACCCCTAAATACTTCCACAGTACCGATATAAGCCACAACATATCTTTGGGAGCATGGAATTCCTTCTTTGCAACGAGAAAGGTGTTTTCATCTGTATATTGAAACATCCAGCTTATTTTTCTAAGTCCAGTTTTTAAGTTTCAGGATATTTAATGAAATGGTAAGGAACAAATAGAACTGTAATATAAGATATTTCTATACAGCTGTACAGGTAAAACCATAGGAAGCCTTCAACTGAAACACATCAGGGATTTTCTTTTTCAAATTCCAGGTACCTGTGTGGACCCAAGTATACTTCTAGTTTACCTGTAGTATGTTTCTTGTGAACTACCTGTTTAAGATTTTCCTTGTGCACTACAAGTAAACTAGGTTGTGAAGATTACTTTGTTTCGTGAAGTATTTCTCTTGAACATTAATTGAACTTGTACACTCTGACCGACTCTACAAAAGTGTAGAGAGAAATGGTACACTTACTGTATGATATGAAAACTGAATACTGCTAAACTGGTACTTTGCTTGGAGTGGTGTTCATATTGTTACATCAAGCAGTGTGTGTCACCTGTGTAATGCTGAATCATTGAACTGAAACAACAACACATCAGTACAAATGTGTAACAATGTCATCCCTTCTCTCATCTGTGTGTTCAGATATTCTAAGTCATGTTTTTTTTTATTGTTACAGTCGACGTGAAAGCAGCCTGTGATATCAATGGTCTTAACCAGTGTGTAAGTTCTGCAGTACCTACTGACAACACAAGGGAAAATGATCCATGCGTGTAAGTATTTTATGCAGTTTTGAAATTAACACTTTGTTAGCGTCTGCTAGGATGGTTTTCTTTATAACCAGAATCATGTCTCGTACATCAGCTGTGACTATTTCTTTACGTAGTCATAAATCTAAAGTGATTGAATTTCTTTGATTGTAGTGAGAATTGTATCCATCAAATTCTTTTGACTGAAGGATATTCTTCAATGTTACATTACTATGTACATACACTGTGATATACTCACCAGTAAGAAAAAAGTGTATTAAATGCTCTGTGTATTTGTATTTTTAGACAATACAATGCCATCAAGAAATGCGTCGCCATGTTCAATGCAACCTGTGCCACTGAGATCAAATCCTATACTGACAACATTGCCCAGTTTGAGAGCATGTGTGGTGGTGGCGGTATGGGTGGTGGAGGTAGGTAGCAACTTATTCATACCGTAATTCTGTTGCCCATAGCAATTTGCTTTCTTAAGAAATCTGATAAGTATGTGTTCAGGTAGATGTAACAGAATTAAAACATGCACTTAATACTCAGTGTTTTACTTATGAAATAATTGCCTCTCAAGGTCTTTCGATGTAGAACCTGTCTCTCAGCGTTTCCTGATGTTATACCTGTCTCTCAATGTCTTTTGATGTAACACCTCTCTCAGTGTGTCCTGATGTTATACCTATCTCTCAGTGTCTCCAGATGTAGCACCTGTCTCTCAGTGTCTCCAGATGTAGCACTTGTATCTCAATGTCTCCATATGTAGAACCTGTCTCTCAGTGTTTCCTGATGTAACATCTCTCTCGATGTCTTTTAATGTAACACCTCTCTCAGTGTTTCCAGATGTAATATCTGTCTTTCAGTGTCTCCAGATGTAGCACCTGTCTCTCAGTGTTTCCTGATATATCAGCTGGCTCTCATTGTCCCAATGAGTTTTGATGTAGTAACTGTCTTTCAGTGTCTCCAGATGGAGCACCTGTCTCTCAGTGTCTCCAGATGTAGCACCTATCTCTCAATGTTTCCTGATATATCAGCTGGCTCTCACTGTCCCAATGATTTTTGATGTAGTACCTGTCTTTCAGTGTCTCCGGATGTAGCACTTGTCTTTTAGTGTTTCCTGATGTAACAGCTGTCTCGCAGTGTCTCCAGATGTAGCACCTGTCTTTCAATGTTTCCTGATGTAACAGCTGTCTCTCAGTGTCTCCATATGTAGCACCTGTCTTTCAGTGTTTCCTGATGTAACACCTGTCTCTGTGTCTCGCCATGTTTTTTGATGTAACACCTGTCTTACACTCCATCATGGTCTATGCTTACTTTTTCTATACATATGGTTTCCTGTTGGTACAGGTGATGGATGTGATATGCAGGCACTTAGTGGATGTATGACATCCATGAGCAGTATTCAAGGTGCCATGTCGAGTGGTTCAGCACCAACAGGAGAAGATCTGGAGAATGTTTGCAAGTAAGTAACTGATAAAGGCCAAATTATTGTGAATAACATGAAATTACTTCCATGTAAAATATTTTTCTAGAAATAATATATGTAGGCACTCAAACTTAAGAAAGGATTGAATAGATAAAAGCAATTTATATTGTATATTTTTGTAGTGGTTATGCAGCTTTCAAAGCCTGTGTTGCTGCATTGCCTCCAGCCTGCAGTGAAACCCTTAAGAATAACCAGATGGGGGGTGAACAGTTTAGCCAGCTTGTGGATCAGTACTGTGGAAGTAGTGATGGTAAGTAACACAGCAGTGTAACTCATTATCTACCAAAGTCATTAATGTGGGGTTAGAGTAATTTACACAAGTCTGAATTGATATGATCTGATTTTGATGTGATTTTAATAAATATTACCTTAATTCAAATATATGTATTCTGATTCAACAAAGTCAATCTGAGTTCCATTTATCTAATTTAAAAAGAAATTAAATTGCAGGCTGTGATATGATTGGAGTACAGAAATGCATGATGCCAATTATGTCTCTGGACTTAAAATTTGATGGGGAATCAGCCATGTCTTCCATCGTGAAGGTCTCCAGTCAGTGTGGGTAAGTGTGACACTATTAGTATGGGTAAATCAGGGGCCTGGAAAAATATCTTAAACCACTAGGCACAGGACTGGTGGGATGAAAAATTTACTTGTCCGGATTGGAAATTTACTCGTCCAAATTCAGCTATGAAATGGCGACTTAATCAGCGAGGATGTGACATGTGACTTCTTTTCTATTTTTATTTGAAGTTTTAGTGAAAAAACTAGGGGCCTAGTTGTAGTGTTTGTTTACAACTGACTAGGTGCTGTTAAGAACGAGAGCACCTGACATCAGTATGACATCGGGAAAATGACTAAGGTATTCCGAATACCATATTTGACGTCCGGTGTAATCGAAAGTTAGAGAGCAGACTGGAATATTTTGTTTTCGAGTACCCTAAACATGTTTCTTTGCTCGAATTTTTCTTCACATTTTTATTGAAATTTAAGTTGTAACATTAATATCATTGGAAAAAAGTACTCGTCCGACGGACGACTGACAAAGATAAATCTGGTTGTCTGAGACAATTTTGACTCTTCCATGATGACCAGATGAGTGCTTTTCCGAACCTCTGGTAAATGTGACACTATATTTGTGGGTAAGTGTGACACTATTAGTGTGGGTAAGTGTGACACTATTAGTTTTGACAATTGTGACACTATAATTATGGGTAAGTGTGACACTATAATTGTGGATAAATGTGACACTATATTTGTGGGTAAGTGTGACACTATTAGTGTGGGTAAATGTGACACTATAATTATGGGTAAGTGTGACACTATATTTGTGGGTAAGTGTGACACTATTAGTGTGGGTAAATGTGACACTATAATTATGGGTAAGTGTGACACTATTAGTGTGGGTAAGTGTGACACTATATTTGTGGGTAAGTGTGACACTATTAGTGTGGGTAAATGTGACACTATATTTGTGGGTAAGTGTGACACTATTAGTGTGGGTAAATGTGACACTATAATTATGGGTAAGTGTGACACTATTAGTGTGGGTAAATGTGACACTATATTTGTGGGTAAGTGTGACACTATTAGTGTGGGTAAATGTGACACTATAATTATGGGTAAGTGTGACACTATTAGTGTGGGTAAGTGTGACACTATATTTGTGGGTAAGTGTGACACTATTAGTGTGGGTAAATGTGACACTATATTTGTGGGTAAGTGTGACACTATTAGTGTGGGTAAATGTGACACTATAATTATGGGTAAGTGTGACACTATTAGTGTGGGTAAGTGTGACACTATATTTGTGGGTAAGTGTGACACTATTAGTGTGGGTAAATGTGACACTATAATTATGGGTAAGTGTGACACTATTAGTGTGGGTAAGTGTGACACTATATTTGTGGGTAAGTGTGACACTATTAGTGAATGTAAATGTGACACTATATTTGTGACACTAGTGGAGTAAGTGTGGTGCTGTTGGAGTGGGTAGGTGTGGTGCTGTTGGTGAGGGTAGGTGTGGTGCTGTTGTGATGGGTAAGTGTAGTTCTGTTGGTGTGGGTAAGTGGGACACTATTAGTTTTGATAAATGTGACACTATAATTGTCGGTAAGTGTGACAACAGTGGGGTAAGTGTGGTGTTATTGGTGTGGGTAGGTGGGTCACTATTAGTTTTGGTAAGTGTGACACTTTTGGTGTGGGTAAGTGTGACACTATTAGTTTTGGTAAGTGTGACACTTTTGGTGTGGGTAAGTGTGACACTATTAGTTTTGGTAAGTGTGACACTTTTGGTGTGGGTAAGTGTGACATTTTTGGTGTGGGTAAGTGTGACACTTTTGGTGTGGGTAAGAGTGACACTATTAGTGTGGGTAAATGTGACACTATAATTATGGGTAAGTGTGACACTATTAGTGTGGGTAAGTGTGACACTATATTTGTGGGTAAATGTGACACTATTAGTGTGGGTAAATGTGACACTATAATTATGGGTAAGTGTGACACTATTAGTTTTGGTAAGTGTGACACTATATTTGTGGGTAAGTGTGACACTATTAGTGTGGGTAAATGTGACACTATAATTATGGGTAAGTGTGACACTATTAGTGTGGGTAAGTGTGACACTATATTTGTGGGTAAGTGTGACACTATTAGTGTGGGTAAGTGTGACACTATATTTGTGGGTAAGTGTGACACTATTAGTGTGGGTAAATGTGACACTATAATTATGGGTAAGTGTGACACTATTAGTGTGGGTAAGTGTGACACTATATTTGTGGGTAAGTGTGACACTATTAGTGAAGGTAAATGTGACACTATATTTGTGACACTAGTGGAGTAAGTGTGGTGCTGTTGGAGTGGGTAGGTGTGGTGCTGTTGGTGAGGGTAGGTGTGGTGCTGTTGTGATGGGTAAGTGTAGTTCTGTTGGTGTGGGTAAGTGGGACACTATTAGTTTTGATAAATGTGACACTATAATTGTCGGTAAGTGTGACAACAGTGGGGTAAGTGTGGTGTTATTGGTGTGGGTAGGTGGGTCACTATTAGTTTTGGTAAGTGTGACACTTTTGGTGTGGGTAAGTGTGACACTATTAGTTTTTGTAAGTGTGACACTTTTGGTGTGGGTAAGTGTGACACTATTAGTTTTGGTAAGTGTGACACTTTTGGTGTGGGTAAGTGTGACATTTTTGGTGTGGGTAAGTGTGACACTTTTGGTGTGGGTAAGTGTGACACTTTTGGTGTGGGTAAGAGTGACACTATATTTGTGGGTAAGTGTGACACTATTAGTGTGGGTAAGTGTGACACTTTTGGTGTGGGTAAGTGTGACACTATTAGTTTTGGTAAGTGTGACACTTTTGGTGTGGGTAAGTGTGACACTATTAGTTTTGGTAAGTGTGACACTTTTGGTGTGGGTAAGTGTGACATTTTTGGTGTGGGTAAGTGTGACACTTTTGGTGTGGGTAAGTGTGACACTTTTGGTGTGGGTAAGAGTGACACTATTAGTTGTGGTAAGTGTTACACTTTTGGTGTGGGTAAGTGTGACACTTTTGGTGTGGGTAAGTGTGACACTTTTGGTGTGGGTAAGTGTGACACTATTAGTTGTGGTAAGTGTAACACTTTTGGTGTGGGTAAGTGTGACACTTTTGGTGTGGGTAAGTGTGACACTTTTGGTGTGGGTAAGTGTGACACGTTTGGTGTGGGTAAGTGTGACACGTTTGGTGTGGGTAAGTGTGACACGTTTGGTGTGGGTAAGTGTGACACTTTTGGTGTGGGTAAGTGTGACACTTTTGGTGTGGGTAAGTGTGACACTTTTGGTGTGGGTAAGTGTGACATTTTAAATGTGTGTAATCTTGATTGATTGATATTGAAGAAATTTGTTATTCTCTTTATCTAATATTTGATAAATATGTTTATTTTCCCATCATTAGAAGCTTTGAGGGAGTATTGGACTGCCTTGAACCCAAATTGGAAGGATGCAAGGACAATACACTACTCCAAAACACCACTGTTTTCCTAGAAAAGATGAAGATGATGGTGAACTTTGTGTGTAAGGAGAAGAAACAATGTAAGTGCATAGACTTAAATAGATTGTAATATGATATGGTGACACCAATGGATTTTATCATCCAAGACAGTGTCATATAGACCTTTTGGGATATCCTTTTGTCCGGCATATATTTATATTTTTCTATTGGCAATGGATCAAACTTGATGAAAAGGGTTACTAAGGATGGCAGTTTGATATTAGGCTCAAATTGACCCTTGCTTATCTCCAGAGACTGATGGGCATGGCCAAAACAGGTCAAAGTGACTGATATTTAAAAAAAAATCCTCAATATCCAAATATGGTAGAATGAAATAAACTTTATGGATGGTGTTAAAGTAAAACTTCTCTGTCCCTGTACAAATAACATTTCTAGTTTTCTCTTCTCTATACTACACATTCAATCCAATCAGTTCTGTTCGTTAGTTCACTCAAGTGACCGTTTATGCCCCTTGTTCTTGAAAAAAAGAGTTTGTCATTAGAAGACTACTCAAATGTTTGCATTTCAAAAAATATTTTGCAGCTATCATGGAAGTGGCAGAGTGTGCATCTAAGCCAGCTGCACTGCAGAAATTGAGCGAATGTGAATCTATCCACCCTATGTCCAGTGATCCTTCTAAGGTCTCAAAGGAACAACTGTGCACGTAAGATGGACATTTTTCAATTGACATTCTCAAATACAGCTTAATGTAATTCTAATCAGTGGAGTGGATGTACACGTAGTCTCTTCTAGTATTGGTACCATAAATATGACTTTATTCCAGGTTTCCAGACCTACCCAGTTACTTAGGATACAATATTATATGGCAGACTTTACCTGTTAACTAGGTTACAGTGACCTACATAGGATACAATGTCTGAATTTACCGGTTGATATGTTACAGTGAGGTGAACACCATGTCAGCTTGTATGGAGAAGGCTACTAGTGGTGTGTGTACAGGGAAAGAAACCGAAACAATGATTGATCTGCTGAAGGATGCCATGAAGATGTTCCTCAAGGGGGAAGACCCATGTGGTAAGTAGCCAGTAGTCCAATCTAAGTCAATTTCAATTCAATTTTATTCTCTTTCATAAAATAAATTGTACAAAGAAACATATTCACAATAATATTTACAAACAGAGTAGTGTTCCAAGTCAATATAGGATATTTTGTTAATAATGCTGTTAATATGACACAAGTGACGTCTATTGTCTAGTAAAGTACAATAGATAGGCTAGTACATTAGGGAGGACAAATGGTGGTATTAATTATTCTTATAAAAGTACACAGTTTCTTTAATGTTTTAACATCAGTAATATTCTTTAATTTATTAAACTTGATAGTGTTAGGCCTGAATCAGAAGTATTTATCAATATATAAAGAAAAAAGGACATTGGAGTAGGTAATGAAATTCATCACCACTATCCCCTAGATTGCAATATGGACATTTGCTTTCTTCATACTCAATACCATGTCATCTCCCGGTTTCAGCAATATACTTATGGTTAGCAGTACGAAATTTACAAAGAGTAATTCTATCTTTTTCACTTAAATCATTCAAATAATATTTGAAATTACATTTTGTTTTGAAAATTCTGTAACTTATAGCTTTTGAGGAATTGTATACATCACTATTCCATTTTTGTAAATATCGGTCAACAAGTCTTTGTTTCACAGTGTTCTTTAACCACTTAAGATTAAATGTTAACGCATATTGAAAGTTCCATATATAGGCAAAACCACATTCATTCAAAATACGCTCAACAAAATTTAGACATTCAACAGGCTTGTTTTCAATAGTGTAATTATAGTATAAAAGTTTGTACACAATAAAACCCAATTTTGTTTCTTTACATTTGAATAACCGTGACCAGTATGATATTATTCTAGTTTTTACTGATAATTCTAGGGGAGATGTACCTAATTCCCTGTATACCATGTAATTAGGAGTACTATTTTTCACTCCAAGCAATAGTTCACAAAATTTTATATGAACATGTTCAATTATATTAAGGTTTGTAAATCCCCATACTTCACAACCATACAACAATATTGGTTTCACAATTTTTCCATATAAATCATATACACCACTCACAGATAGATTATATAATCTTCCTTAATTTCATAACATCATACATTGGGATTGTAGCTTTTTTTTAATTGTATTTTTTTCCTTCATCGACAGTACCCGAACGACTAAATATCGTACCCAAATAGCTAAAGCTGTTAACCATCTCTAACTCTTCATAATTAAAATAAAACGTGTTTCTTTTACTCCTCCGTCCATTACTGAAAACCATGTATTTAGTTTGACTAATATTTACTTCTAATTTCCAATTTAAAAACATTCAATTGTAACTGCAAATCATCTGGACAACTAGAGAAAAGTAAAGTATCATTGGTATATAGTAAAATAAACAGTTTTATATAAATCCGTAACTCAATTTCCAGTTTGTCACTAAGGCAAGTTAACCCTTGTATATTATTTTGAGCCATGAGTTCTTCTAAATCCTTCAGATAAAGACTAAATAAAAATGGAGATAGATTTTCACCTTATCTCAAACATACATATTTACAATTGGCTGCAAAATGTAAGTATTCATTTTGTTACTCAAAATATGGGTCACCTGTAAAATATTTGGAGTTTTCAGGAGGAATATATACTATACCAAACAGTAAATCTTCGCTACGATTTCATGCGTTTCCATTGATCTTAAACCAGCTTACAGATTTACTGTCACTATTAATTATATGTACACTATTTTCTAACACACATTTGTATGATAGAGTTATTCCACCAGATTTAACTCTCGAAATATGAAAACGGTTTTTCATATTAGTAACAAAACCAGGTAAGTCGATAACATCTAAATCATCTGTCTTTGTCTCACACAAACATAAGATATCAAAACTATTTACAAACTCCAAAAATTCAGGGTATTGCATTTTTTTAGCCCACCATCTAATAGATGGTGGGTTATTCAAATTCCGTGGTCCGTCATCCGTCCGTCCGTAAACAATTCTTGTTACTGCTATTTCTGGAAAAGTACTGGATGGATCTTTCTCAAATTTCATATGCAGATTCCCCTTGGTCCCTAGTTGTGCATTGTACCTTTATTGAACTGATTTGCATTCAAGATGGCCGACAGGTGGCCATCTTGGATTTTGGAAGTAAAAGTTTGTTACCGCTATTTCTGGAAAAGTACTGGATGAATCTTTCTCAAATTTCATATGCAGTTTCCCCTTGGTCCCTAGTTGTGCATTGTACCCTTTTTGAACTGATTCGAATTCAAGATGGCCGACAGGCAGCCATCTTGGATTTTGGATGTAAAAGATTGTTACTGCTATTTCTTGGAAAGTACTGGATGGATCTTTCACAAATTCCATATGCAGTTTCCTCTTGGTCCCTAGTTGTGCATTGTACCTTTGTTGGACTGATTCGAATTCAAGATGGCCGACAGGTGGCCATCTTGGATTTTGGATGTAAAAGTTTGTTACCACTATTTCTTGGAAAGTACTGGATGGATCTTTCTCAAATTTCATATGCAGGTTCCCCTTGGTCCCTAGTTGTGCATTATACCTTTTTTGGACTGATTCGAATTCAAGATGGCCGACAGGCAGCCATCTTGGATTTTGGAAGTAAAAGTTTGTTACTGCTATTTCTTGGAAAGTACTGGATGGATCTTTCTCAAATTTCATATGCAGGTTCCCTTTGGTTCCAAGTTTTGCATTATACCTTTTTGGACTGATCCGAAATCAAGATGGCTGACAGGCAGCCATCTTGGATTTTGAGAGTAAAATCTTGTTACTGCTATATCTGAGAAATACTGGATGGATCCTTCTGATATTTCATAGATATTGGTTTCCCTTGGTCCCTAGTTGTGCATTGTACCTTTTTTGGACTGATTTGAAATCAAGGTGGCCCACAGGCAGCCATCTTGGATGTCGACAGTAATACAGCACAAGCATATTGTCCATTATCCACCTGTAACTGACTGCTATCTAATAATACTTTGGGATCTTTTTCAAATGATATTTGCTAACAGGTGCTTAATAAAAATATCTTGTGCCATCATTGAGTACATTCAATGAAGACCAGTTCATGAACATTTACAACACCTGTAACAAACAAAAAAAAATAAACAAATCTTCAAGAACTGAAAACAGATCCTCAAATGGTGGGCACCAAGATCCCTCTGGGATCTCTTGTTCATTATTTAGAGTTACACGAGTCCAGTACAGGTAAGTTTGGACTGCTCGTGCTATGCACGTGACTTTGCCCTCCGGCGCGTTCCTATTTACAATTGGAATGCTGTCGTCGACGCTTTTTAACTTACTTACTTGGAGTAGACCTGTCCGTATTGCTATCCGAGGAGTTTATGTAAAATTGTCCTTCAATGTACAGTTTGTCTCTAACTAGTAGGGTCTTCTTTGTATCCTTTCTCTCCTTTTTTGTATAGGGTATAGGATTTTTCTCTTCTATTTGTTTAGGTACTTCTCGTTTACTCCGAATTTCATATTTTTAGTGTATTAGCATTCTTCTTGACATTTTGGAGATCACAGTAATGAACAAATTTCACAATAATGGCTCTTGGTTTACCGTTTCTTCTTTCCCACTTGCCTCCAATTCTATAAACATTTGCCATGGGTATATTATGTGCGTTCTCGATTTGTAATTTCTCATTAATAAAATCTTTTACAGTATTTTCACAGTTTTCTGGGTCATCCCAAACTTTCTCATCGATTCCAGTAAAAATCAAGTTATATTTCATGCTTCTACACTGAGCGTCAAGTGCATTTGCCTGTAATTCACTGATCCTTTCTTTCATGTCATCCTTTTTATCCCAAATGTCGTCGTCTGGTATTTCTAAATCTTTCAAATTTTTTTTTATTTTCGTTACATTACATCCAATGGTGTCATTAGCTGCTTTGACCCTGTCCATTATTGATGTAGATATCTTACTGTGTCATATCTAGAGTGGTAGAAACAGGTATCCTACTGTGTCAGGACAGGGGTGGGGTAGATTGTTGTATCTCACTGTGTCAGGACTAGGATGTATCTTACTGTGTAACTTTTTAAGAGGTAAATAACTAACTTTGTAATAACTAGGGTGGTGAATATCTTACGGTATCTGGAATAAATTGATAAATATCTTAATGTGTCAGGACCAGGATGATATAATCTTAATGTGTAAGGACTGGGGTCCTTAATATTTTGCTGTGTCAGGACTATATTGGTAAATGCCGTGTCAGTATAAGATTGATAAATATCTTATTGTGTTAGAACAAGATTGGTTAATATCTAACATTGTCAGTATTGTAGGGTGCTAAATATCTCTCTGTTTCAGTGTTGTGTCTGAAAAGTGTGATGATTTTGTTGTATCTGAAATTAAATTTCAACAATTTAGAATTTATTTTGATTTGTTTTTCTAGAAGTCAGTGGAGCCGGTATGTTGGTAAGCAGTGTGTGGACAAGCCTGGTACTAGCTATTGCAGCCATCTTCTTGTAGGAACCTCAGGGACTAAATGTTTGCAGTCTGGTTGACCTATTGACTCACTCATCATCTGATATATCGTGTGGACGTTTTCGTGGTCTAAATTGGCAGCAATTATTACAAACCATGACTCTGTACCAGCTGTTAATTGTACAGAAACATTCATTATCAAGGATACCAAAGGTCAATAATTTAAAGGTCAACAGATATTTGTGTTTTTCATTTCAAAATATTCTATAAAATCAAAAAGACTTAACGGGAATTGGATATTTGTAACTGGGTGTAACAATATTATCAAACACGGATTAGTACTTTATTTTCAGACACATGTCTTGATGTCTACAGGGTATATACATTGACAACTACGTCACATATGGTAGTATTGTACGTGTGTTGATTACCAGGATGATCAGTTACACATTTCTAGTATCAAAAAAGCTTTTAATACGCTTATAGTTTAAAACAAAACACAAATAGCTTCCTATCTTTAGAAAAAATGTAAAAAGATAATACATTTCATGGAGTTTTGTATCTATGAATAGTACCTGATATATGAATACTATGTATTCTGTGTGTAACTTAAGGTTTGCCTGTCTTACCATGGAGCTGCTGTTCAAATCTGTGCAACATGTTGTCCTCACTCAATGAAAGTGTGGAGTTCATTGTTCTAACTTTCGGATTGTATGCGAGGTATCCAATTTCTACCCAGGTGCAAAATTCCTTCTCTACTTGCAGTTTTAACAAACCTACTTACAAAATTCCTTCTCTACTTGCAGTTTTAACAAACCTACTTACAAAATTCCTTCTCTACTTGCAGTTTTAACAAACCTACTTACAAAATTCCTTCTCTACTTGCAGTTTTAACAAACCTACTTACAAAATTCTGGACACTTCTCCTTTTATAGAATTTAAAGTTGATTAATCTTCTATCTACCAGTATTGGTTAGTTTACGGAGTGCGGGAATTAGCGTCTACAATTTTAAAAATACTTCTTTATATACCTTACATTTAGAATCCTCCCATTACCTAAATGTTATGATGTAATTTGGTAAAATTTCTTCATAATTTTAAGTAGAAACCCATTTGTGTTTCAGTTATAATTAAGCTTTAATTATTATTGTGCAAGTCAATACCAAATCAATTACCTCTATATATCCACAAAGCTTGTAAGGCAGTTATTCTTCTTTTTACTTCAAAACTGATATGCATCTTGGATATTTCTTAATGTGGAAGTTGAAAATGTGCAGGAAGACAATTGTCTGCTGATCTAACTTTTGTGTCTTTGTTCTAGTCCTTGATTACTTTATATTGAAAGTGCCTGATTAACCTGAACCAAACCATAATACTTGGAAATGGTGGGCGATGAGAAGATTGGGTAGGGGTGTAGTGAAATTGTTTATTTCTTTACATCTGCCAACAGTGTGCTGTAAACGTGTGAATGTGGATAAGTGGTCACATTTCTCTGCCTCTCTTCTGTGTGTTTATTTTTCTTTTTTTAAAATTTTGTGTGGACATAAACATGCCATATGCCATGATATCTCTAACCTTACTAGTTTACTAGTTTTGTTGTTTTTCTTCTCAAATTGTATTAGCTTCCAAATATTTACACCATTCCAAGTAGAAGCGGATTGTGAGTTTTTCCATTTCATTTCTTAAAATGTTTTGTGTAGTTGTTTTGGCTTCAGTTTTTGACATTTTAAATATTAATGGATGATGTTGTGACATCTTCCTACAAATTCTTCCGTCTCTACATTTAATATGCCTTCCATTGCAAATAATGAGATTATAAGTGCAATTTTGATTTACATGTCAATTTAAGTGCTAATCGTGTTTACAATTTGTATGTACAGTTATGAGTGCGGTTAAGGTGTAGGGCTCGTTTAATTATACCTGTTGATGTATTTGTAAGTCGGGTAAAGTAAGAAAAATTCTCATCTATAACTCAGCATTGAGGTCATATGTCAAAATGTTTCTTTTTCGCCAAAAAATCCCCTTTAAATCTAGATGTATGATTTCGACTGATCGAATAAATATAATAAAAATCTGCATGTTTAGATTGTAAAATGTGTGTTGTTTTGTATCCAGGCCATATCTAGATTAATACTGTATACAATTTGTAACTACATGTACTTAAATAGGATATATCCTTTTATATTGCCTAGATATATGCTTCATGTCTTTATATAACATGTGTGTTGTATGTGTTTCTGTAATATGTGTACAAGTGTGTACACTTAAGTTAACCAGGACAAAATTTACTGGATAAAATGAAGAAAGGTCTTGGTATACAACATGTCTTCCATAGTTTTTTTTAATTATATATGTATCAAAAATTATTTCAAAATTAATTTCAAAATAATTAAAACAAACATAACTACAAATAAATCAAAATAACTTGAGCAAATTCTTACATATTTTAAGAGATTTCCTGGTCATTGATACATTTAAAATAAATCTATGAAGACAAGAGATACATTTGTAAGTGTTCAATTTGATATTCTCATGTAAAATATTGTATTTCATTAGCTATGGTATATAGGGATGGACCTATTTTAACAGATTTAGTCTGTGGTTTCTTTGTGTGTATGAATGTATATGTATGTCAGTGTACTTCTGAAAAAATAAAAGTCATGTAAAGTTCGAACACAAGATTGTTATTTTTTTTATTTCCTAAGTGGTGATGAAGTCATAATGAAGGAGATTTTTTCTTTTTCTTTTTTTATTATAAAGTACTTGTAAAAATATCAGTGATTTTAACTTCACCATAATTGGTAATTTGATACAAAGTTAGAAGAATTTCATTCTTATATATGGGCATGTTAGCTATTGGTTCAGGGCTCCATCCATTGGGCAATGTCTGTAAAATTTCCTTCAATGCCATTTACAAATGGAGATCAAGCTTGCACAGATCAATTTAAGTCTTTTTAGCTGAACTGGTCTTTGTCTGTCCCTTTTCATCAAGCTCTTTCAGCTGAATTTGTCCAAATTTGGTCTGAATCATGTTTAGGTGGAAAAGAATCCATTTTGGATAAACAAGCAGTCTCACCCACCTGAGGCAAGGGGTGGGGGGCAGGACTCAATAAGTGAAATGTGAAAAGGTGAACAGTTTAGATCCCCATTCCATAACCATGTATACCATTCATTGGCATAACATACTGGGTCTGGCCCTACCCCAATGGAAATGTTTCCTTGTTATATCTTGGAAACAGATGAAATACCCTAACATTTAACCATATATAGCAATGACAGTCATCAAGAGACAAACACAATCATGATGTTAGAATTGACCCTGGGGTCTGGCCCCAGGGATTTAGTTTCCTTGTTATATCATTAAAGCTGTAGAGATTCCCAAACCCATACCCATAATCGCAACGTTGGAGATCAAGCGATAAACACAATCATGATGTAAGAATTGTCCCTGTGGTCTGGCCCGACTCCTAGGGACAATGTAAGAACTGGCCCTTGGGTGTGACCTTTGCTCCCTGGACTTACTTTTGGGTGACATCATTGAAACAGTTGAAATTCCCATCCCATAATCACACACACATATATAAATGCTTTGCATCAAGAGATAAACACATTTTTTAATGTCAGCACTGACCTTTGTGTGCGGCACACCTCCAGGGACATTATTTCTGGGTCAAAGTTTTGATCTAGTTGTGATGATGACCATATAAACTCTTACTAGACAGTAACGACATAAGAATTTACCCAATGGTCTTGGCCAATCAAAGAGGTTAACTGACTGAGCTTTAATGTGGAATTATTTGAAATACCAAACTTGTAGGCATGTATAACATCGTTAGGCCATATGAACTTCTTGTTTCTAAACATAAAGGACTGCAAATTTGACCAAATTTGGTCAGAATGATCCTCGGGAAAGACAGGATAAATTTTGTATAAATGGTAAGTCGCAACATTCAGGGATGGAAGGGGCATTACCCAATAGGTACAACACAGCAAAATCTTTAAAATCCAACTCCTCCTTTAAGAATGATTGGATTCTTCAATGGAATGCTAAGAATCTGTCTCAATTTTGCCTAAGTATCCTCTGGTTGACTGGGATTAGCCATGCGTCTTCCCCCTGGGGTAGATGGGGCAGAGCCCAATGGGGGAAATTGGGAAAAGTTCTTAAAATATTCTTCTTTTGTGGGAATGCATTGATTTTATCCTGATTTAGTCTGAAATATACCTGGTCGAAAGGAAACCGATTTTGTAGAAACCAGATGTCGGACAACCGAAACACTGATGTTGGTGACATTCATTTGACCACATCGCCGACTGAATAGCCGATTTAGCCGGTTAAGCGATACAGATCCCATGTGCCTTTTGTTTTAAAACAAATTGAAATTCAAGATAGCTGCCATTACCGCGGTTAACTAATCACTGAAATACTGCTGAAGTGTGATGTTACTGAAAGTTCGTGGAGATGATCAATAGCAGGTTTTGATCAATTGTTGATGAGCTTGTGTTCAGCATAAATACAATATGTCAACCATAGCTGTTATTCTTTTATAAGCCGTGAGTCATGACAATATATATACGCATTGCAATTGACATGTTCATAATACGGAGGAGAGCGAGTACGCTTTAATTCATCATTAAAACACACAACACTGTTTTCATGTTTGACAGTGTGGCTTGTTATTATCATTAACATGTATTTGTATTCTTTTCTATACAACATATCCTGAATATTTCTTTGGCATGTAAAGCTCGCGGTACTCCGGTTCTATATGCATGCAGCTCTCCGAGTGTGCGTTACATATGAACTTGCATAGTATAAGATACATCACGTGCTTGTATATGGCCAGGAAAACTTCCGACGGGGACGGAGATACCAAACGTAATTAAGCAATATGGCAAAGTTTGAAGCTGGAAAAACTGGAATGTGGTAAAAGCCCAGGCTTGTCGATAAGGAAGAAGACTAACTTGCAATCGATTTCGGCACTAAAATCTGCTGAACAAACACAGTCGGACACGTGGAAGATAAAACTAATTGTATATAGAAGCTAACGATTTGTTCGGACAATAATTTGGCATGTCAAAAAGCAATGAAATACAATCAAAATACAACCAAGTGCTTATATTAGTCTGCTGATGAAATATCGTACATTCTATTACACGTAGATCACACCAATAACGACGTAGTTAGAAGATTATATTTATAGCAGTACTGTCTCTAGGTACGGTATTCAATGAGAAATGCCTCTAGCAAAGATTGGAAAAAGCACAAGGGATTGGCACGAGTTCTCAACCCATGGTTCATATACTACTATGTTTCATAGTCACTACAATACATACATTGTACATATCTGCCAACTTTTCAAAATTCTCCTAGGAGAGAAAAGTGCGTAACATTTATATGTAAATGGACCGTGCCAAGTCCTTTTGAAGAGGAGGGAATACTCCATTTTTTTTCCTTCTCAAATGTCAGACGTACAAGTAATTGGAAGGGGGTTATTTTTTTAAAATCTAAATGAATTTTTCCAAAAGGAGTGAACTTCGCCCAAAGTGATGTTCTCTATATTAAGAAATAGGATTGTAAGAAATGAGGCGTTAGCACGGCGGCTGGAAGGCATGTGTAAGTATTGTACAAACAGGTAAGTGTTCGTTTGAGACGAGTATCGGAAATATTCTTAGGGAAACAATATTTTCCCTTTTTAGTTTGTTTGTACTTTTTTAAAAAATAAAGAGTAAAATACCTGGAATACTTTTAAACAGGTACATACATTTTCCATCAGCATAATGTTACAGTTTCCCCACGTCACACTGAAGTTATCATTAACATAAGTTAAAACCTCATTTACATGCATTCATACTACATTGTATACATATCATCATATAGTAAATACAACACATACACTATCATAGCAACACTCTACAATCATAAATAACCGACGACACTAAATCACTGCTTAAAGTGTCACCCAAATTGTATCATCTGGTACTGTAACAGTTCATTAGATCCACACGAACTCCAAATATGTGACCTTTAAAGTGAGAGGTCATTCATATTATCAAATTTGATAGACAACGACCAGGGCGTTTTACTAATGAAATATCACGTCACTAAAACCAATAGAACTTGAAAGTTTTTAAATTTGTTTTTGAAAAAGTCAGTCGAATTTTGGCATTGTTGGGTGAAGTGGAAACAATTTTGTATAAATGATGGGTATCGGGGCCACTGGGGCCCCAATAGTGGAAATATAGCAAATTCTTTAAAATCCTATTGTATTGGATTTTGCTCAGATTTGGTCTAAAACATTGTTGGGTGTTAGTCTGAAGACATGCAGGGTGAAGGGGAATACATTTTGAATAAATGGTAGGCCTGGCCCCCTGGGGCCTTAGGGTCGGGGCTCAATTATTTAAATATAGCAAATTATTTAAAATCTTACTTCTCCTGTAGGAATGATTAAATTTTCCCCAAATTTTGGTCTGAAGCATTGTTAGGTGATCAAGGGGAATCAATTTTGTATAAATAGGTCTCTGCCCACTGGGACCCGAGGGATGAGGCCCAATGGGGGAAATGGAGCTAATTCCTTAAAATCCCACTTCTCCATTAGGAGTGATTAAATATGGCCTAAATTTTGTCAAAAGTATTCTTGGGTGAAGAGGAACAAAGTTTGTATAAAGATAGGTTCTCAGTTCACAGGAGCCTAATGGGTAGGGCGCAATTTTGCAAGTTCTTTAAAATCTTACATATTCTTGAAGTAGTTCTGTATAAACGGTGCATCCCAACCCCAAAGGCGGGAGGAGATATGGAAAATTAAGTTCATGAAAGTCCTTCTTCCCTACAAAGATATTGCCCATGTTTGGTCTGAAACAATTTTTATGAATATTTATTCTGACCTCTGCTTGACCGCAAGAGCTGGACCCAATATGAAAATAATATCAGAAATTGTTTGTCATATTTGAAATTCTTTATTAAATGACTGAATAGCTAGATTAGACCCTTGGGTCTCCAGTTTCTTATTACTTTTGATACCACAAAACAAACCAAATATCATCACCCTGTACCTCCTGATTATGAGTAAGAGAGTAAGAATCCAAGACTCAAGACTCAATGTCACTTATTTTAATAAACTTGATAGACAACAATCAGAGCTTACATATAAATTATCAAGAATCTAGACCTTGTAGAACTTATGAAGTTTTCTTCTTTTCAACTTTGTTACTAAAGTGATTCATGTGGAAAATGTTTTTCTGATGTTTTCACAAAATGTATCCATAACTGAAACAGATTAATCTGTTTTTGAGTTATAGCAAATTTGGTAAAAACGGATATGATATCATGTTGGCCATTTTGATATTGCATTATGCCATTATGTTAAAATGGCAGCCACGTGTAGCACAACATTCTTCTCACACATAGTTTTTATCATATTGTTTCTATTTTACAAAGAACAGATGAAAGATTCAAATTGTCATACAACCTTAATAGTAAATGGTACATCAAATTTACATCCTTAGTGCAACAATTTTCCCAAAAAGGTAAAGAAAAAATAAAGAGGTTAAACAAATTTGACTTTTGACCGACCAGCAAGGACTTTTTTTTACCTTTTTGTTATAATATAAAGACACTAGACATTAGCCACCCAGCGTTTTTACAAATAATACAATTACATGATTTTTGAGGTATCCCCTTTTTAAGATTTCATCCTATGACGACATGGCAGCCATTATGATTTTTTTCCAATTTCGAAAATAGAAGTTCTTATAACACAACCAGTAGCAGATTAGTGTGTGATGTTTTAATGACTACATGGTCACCTTCATCAGACAAATGTCCAGTGTGGAGCTACTAGCACTGACGTACCAAGCATACGAGATGGTAAGGAACCAAGCAACATATTCGCTTCTACTATAATCCTATGTACACTAAAGTTGAAACAATGTGACAAGATGGTAAACAGATTATAGACCAAACAATACACAAGATTGTAATAATGTACTGTAGTCAATTCGGCTATGCTTTGTTTAACACTTGGTCATAGATGTGCGAGAGTCTGTGGCCCTCCTTGCCCCTGTTTAGTACTGGCCCGTTAGTATTAGGAATTCCCTCTGGATTGTTGTTTCGTAATACCGTCAGACATTTCCAGTGAACTACCAAGATTTTTTGTGTGTTTAGTTTACTGCTTCAATCACAATCTTTCAAGAATTTTCACCGTTTTCATCATTCATAACTGGTGAATTGTTTGGATGGTACCTACAATCTGAACTATCTGTTTGCATATTTAAAGATTGTTCATTTGCTTCCTCTGAGGGCATATTTGTATGTACTTGTGTGTATAAGTTTGTGTTGTCCTTTGAGGGTTTCTGTGCCGTTTCCTCTGCGTGCATAGATTTGTTACTCTCTGTGAATACATGTGATGCTTTCTCTCTGGGTATGTGTGAAGCTCCTTGTTGAGAATTGTGTTTTGCTTCCTTAGTGTTTGTGATTGTGTTGGTGTGATTGCATATTGGTGTTTGAGGTGGTGAAGAAGAACTGCCTATTGTTGCTGTCTGTATCACTTCCATTATTTTATCAAGTTTGTCATTCAGTTTCTGTTCAATTTGAGAGAGTCTTTCATCTAAATGGGTCTGGAGTCGGAGTTCAAACTCCCCCATACAGCTTTTCACCACTGTCCTCAATGTGTCCGGTGTAAATTTCTGGCCTCCTGTATCATCATTCTGTGACCTTTGACCTGCCTCCCCAGTGTCTTCTTCAGACCGACTGTAATATAAAAGTGAACAGCACTAAATTCAAACAAATATCAAACCACTGCTATGCTGGAAAGTACATGAAAATGGATTACATCACAGCATCACATACCAATAAACATTGATACCATGTCCATGACCAGGCCTAACTTTGAAATTACAGTTGGATACCCTTTCCCTGACTGACCTACTCATGAATGGTATCAAAGATAAAACTGTACACGGTCTTTGATGTGACCTACATTCAATGATAAATGTTAAAGCTCCTCCTTTACTCAACCTACTATTGAAAGTAAACATTGATACCTTGTCCCTGAATTGACAACCTTTTAGAGGTAAACATTGATACCTTGTCCCTGAACTGACCACCTTTTAGAGGGTAAACATTGATACCTTGTCCCTGAATTGACAACCTTTTAGAGGTAAACATTGATACCTTGTCCCTGAACTGACCACCTTTTAGAGGTAAACATTGACACCTTGTCCCTGAACTGACAACCTTTTAGAGGGTAAACATTGATACCTTGTCCCTGAACTGACCACCTTTTAGAGGTAAACATTGATACCATGTCCCTTAATTGACAACCTTTTAGAGGTAAACATTGATACCTTGTCCCTGAACTGACCACCTTTTAGAGGTAAACATTGATACCTTGTCCCTGAACTGACAAACTTTTAGAGGGTAAACATTGATACTTTGTCCCTGAACTGACCACCTTTTAGAGGGTAAACATTGATACCTTGTCCCTGAATTGACAACCTTTTAGAGGTAAACATTGATACCTTGTCCCTGAACTGACAACATTTTAGAGGTAAACATTGATACCTTGTCCCTGAATTGACAACCTTTTAGAGGCAAACATTGATACCTTGTCCCTGAATTGACAACCTTTTAGAGGTAAACATTGATACCTTGTCCCTGAACTGACCACCTTTTAGAGGCAAACATTGATACCTTGTCCCTGAATTGACAACCTTTCAGAGGGTAAACATTGATACCTTGTCCCTGAACTGACCACCTTTTAGAGGCAAACATTGATACCTTGTCCCTGAACTGACAAACTTTTAGAGGGTAAACATTGATACCTTGTCCCTGAATTGACAACCTTTCAGAGGGTAAACATCGATACCTTGTCCCTGAATTGACAACCTTTTAGAGGTAAACATTGATACCTTGTCCCTGAATTGACAACCTTTTAGAGGCAAACATTGATACCTTGTCCCTGAATTGACAACCTTTTAGAGGTAAACATTGATACCTTGTCCCTGAACTGACCACCTTTTAGAGGCAAACATTGATACCTTGTCCCTGAATTGACAACCTTTCAGAGGGTAAACATTGATACCTTGTCCCTGAACTGACAACCTTTTAGAGGGTAAACATTGATACCTTGTCCCTGAACTGACCACCTTTTAGAGGATAAACATCGATACCTTGTCCCTGAACTGACCTTTTAAAGGGTAAACATCGATACCTTGTCCCTGAACTGACAACCTTTTAGAGGGTAAACATTGATACCTTGTCCCTGAATTGACAACCTTTCAGAGGGTAAACATTGATACCTTGTCCCTGAACTGACCACCTTTTAGAGGGTAAACATTGATACCATGTCCCTGAACTGACAACCTTTTAGAGGGTAAACATTGATACCATATCCCTGAACTGACAACATTTTAGAGGATAAACATCGATACCTTGTCCCTGAACTGACCACCTTTTAGAGGATAAACATCGATACCTTGTCCCTGAACTGACAACCTTTTAGAGGTAAACATTGATACCTTGTCCCTGAATTGACAACCTTTTAGAGGCAAACATTGATACCTTGTCCCTGAATTGACAACCTTTTAGAGGTAAACATTGATACCTTGTCCCTGAACTGACCACCTTTTAGAGGCAAACATTGATACCTTGTCCCTGAATTGACAACCTTTCAGAGGGTAAACATTGATACCTTGTCCCTGAACTGACCACCTTTTAGAGGCAAACATTGACACCTTGTCCCTGAACTGACAAACTTTTAGAGGGTAAACATTGATACCTTGTCCCTGAATTGACAACCTTTCAGAGGGTAAACATTGATACCTTGTCCCTGAATTGACAACCTTTTAGAGGTAAACATTGATACCTTGTCCCTGAATTGACAACCTTTTAGAGGCAAACATTGATACCTTGTCCCTGAATTGACAACCTTTTAGAGGTAAACATTGATACCTTGTCCCTGAACTGACCACCTTTTAGAGGCAAACATTGATACCTTGTCCCTGAATTGACAACCTTTCAGAGGGTAAACATTGATACCTTGTCCCTGAACTGACAACCTTTTAGAGGGTAAACATTGATACCTTGTCCCTGAACTGACCACCTTTTAGAGGATAAACATCGATACCTTGTCCCTGAACTGACCTTTTAGAGGGTAAACATTGATACCTTGTCCCTGAACTGACAACCTTTTAGAGGGTAAACATTGATACCTTGTCCCTGAATTGACAACCTTTCAGAGGGTAAACATTGATACCTTGTCCCTGAACTGACCACCTTTTAGAGGGTAAACATTGATACCATGTCCCTGAACTGACAACCTTTTAGAGGGTAAACATTGATACCATATCCCTGAACTGACAACATTTTAGAGGATAAACATCGATACCTTGTCCCTGAACTGACCACCTTTTAGAGGATAAACATCGATACCTTGTCCCTGAACTGACAACCTTTTAGAGGTAAACATTGATACCTTGTCCCTGAATTGACAACCTTTTAGAGGCAAACATTGATACCTTGTCCCTGAATTGACAACCTTTTAGAGGTAAACATTGATACCTTGTCCCTGAACTGACCACCTTTTAGAGGCAAACATTGATACCTTGTCCCTGAATTGACAACCTTTCAGAGGGTAAACATTGATACCTTGTCCCTGAACTGACCACCTTTTAGAGGCAAACATTGATACCTTGTCCCTGAACTGACAAACTTTTAGAGGGTAAACATTGATACCTTGTCCCTGAATTGACAACCTTTCAGAGGGTAAACATTGATACCTTGTCCCTGAATTGACAACCTTTTAGAGGTAAACATTGATACCTTGTCCCTGAATTGACAACCTTTTAGAGGCAAACATTGATACCTTGTCCCTGAATTGACAACCTTTTAGAGGTAAACATTGATACCTTGTCCCTGAACTGACCACCTTTTAGAGGCAAACATTGATACCTTGTCCCTGAATTGACAACCTTTCAGAGGGTAAACATTGATACCTTGTCCCTGAACTGACCACCTTTTAGAGGATAAACATTGATACCTTGTCCCTGAACTGACCTTTTAGAGGGTAAACATTGATACCTTGTCCCTGAACTGACAACCTTTTAGAGGGTAAACATTGATACCTTGTCCCTGAATTGACAACCTTTCAGAGGGTAAACATTGATACCTTGTCCCTGAACTGACCACCTTTTAGAGGGTAAATATTGATACCATGTCCCTGAACTGACAACCTTTTAGAGGGTAAACATTGATACCATATCCCTGAACTGACAACATTTTAGAGGATAAACATCAATACCTTGTCCCTGAACTGACCACCTTTTAGAGGATAAACATCGATACCTTGTCCCTGAACTGACCACCTTTTAGAGGATAAACATTGATACCTTGTCCCTGAACTGACAAACTTTTAGAGGATAAACATTAATACCTTGTCCCCGACATGACCTGCTTTTGAAGGTACACATCGATACTCAGACTTGTCTTACATTAGAATATACACATAGTTACCATGACTCTGACCTGACCTACATTAGAAGGTACAAATTGATACCATGACTCTTACCTGACCTACATTAGAAGGTACACATTGATACCTTCACTCTGACTTGACCTACATTAGAAGGTACACATTGATACCATGACTCTGATCTGACCTACATTAGAAGGTACAAATTGATACCATGACTCTGACCTGACCTACATTAGAAGGTACAAATTGATACCATGACTCTGACCTGACCTACATTAGAAGGTACACATTGATACATTGACTCTGACCTGACCTACATTAGAAGGTACAAATTGATACCATGACTCTTACCTGACCTACATTAGAAGGTACACATTGATACCTTCACTCTGACTTGACCTACATTAGAAGGTACACATTGATACCTTCACTCTGACTTGACCTACATTAGAAGGTACACATTGATACATTGACTCTGACCTGACCTACATTAGAAGGTACACATTGATACCTTAACTCTGACTTGACCTACATTAGAAGGTACACATTGATACCTTCACTCTGACTTGACCTACATTAGAAGGTACACATTGATACATTGACTCTGACCTGACCTACATTAGAAGGTACACATTGATACCATGACTCTGACCTGACCTACATTAGAAGGTACACATTGATACCTTCACTCTGACTTGACCTACATTAGAAGGTACACATTGATACATTGACTCTGACCTGACCTACATTAGAAGGTACACATTGATACCATGACTCTGACCTGACCTACATTAGAAGGTACACATTGATACCTTCACTCTGACTTGACCTACATTAGAAGGTACACATTGATACATTGACTCTGACCTGACCTACATTAGAAGGTACACATTGATACCATGACTCTTACCTGACCTACATTAGAAGGTACACATTGATACCTTCACTCTGACTTGACCTACATTAGAAGGCACATATTGACACACTGCCCCTGACTTGTCTTACATTAGAAGGCACATATTGACATCCTGACTCTGACTTGGCCTTCCTCAGAATTTGCAATTAGATTTCCTGACTCTGACATGATATGTGTTAGAATGTACACGTTGATAACCTGTCCCTGATCTAACACTGAGGGTATACATGAAGGTAAACACTGATATCCTTTCCCTGACATACATCTGAAGGTAGACACTGATATCCTATCCCTGACATACATTTGAAGGTAAACGCTAATACCCTGTCATTGAGCTACCTTTCAGCGTTAACACTGATACCCTGTACCAGACTTGAGGCTCTTGCTCTCACTCATTTGACATACCTTTGAGAGTTGTTCAACAGGCTTTGATCAGTTCTGCTCTCCGGAGTTTCGTTGTTCCCATCAAGATGAACTGTTCTGGTCTGAGACACTTTGCCACATATGTTTTTTAACATCTGGTACATATCTCCTTCTTCCACCCTATCATTAGAGTTCTCAGGGAATGATCCTACTGCAGAATCTCTTGATCCAGATACATTCAGTGACGGTATTGCGAACATATTTGCCTGATTTGCTGACGTTGAATCAGTTTGATGATGTGTTTCTGTTTTATCATTAGTAACTAAGGGTTTATTTAAATCGTCATTATTATTCCGGAATCCTAATCTAGATGTTCCCGCTTCAGAAATATTCCTTGAATCTGAGTGGTTACCTACCAGAGGAGTATCCCTAAACCCTAACTGGCCAGATTGTGTGGTGTCTCTTTGGATGCCCTGTGAACCAGACTGGGTTGTAGTAGACATGTTAGAGAACATGGACATGAGACCCATTAGCTCCATCATTCCTGGTCGAGGGGAGCCAGCAGATGCCTGTGATGTTTGACCAAGCATTCCTTGAAGACCTGACACAGCACTTTTTTTGTTCTGAGAATAAAGGACAAAACTTGTGTCAAACAAAGTAAGAAAATCCAGATCTGTGCAATTAATGTGACATGGGAATATCTAGCTTAGTTGACCAGTGAAAAAACACAAAATAGGGCAGGTGACCCAGGGTTTTCCATAATTTTGTTAGTTGTAGGCTGTGTAGTGAAAGTAGGAGGCTTGCCTGCCGTGTACGTGTGCGGAACTTTATTACGGAACTGGATTGGTGTAGGCGGCCAAATGATCAAAGTAGCTGTGTCAAATTGGCCGGCAACAAGCTCTTATGGAAAACCCAGTGACACCATATCATTCCTTGACTGAATAGGGAATCAACCACAGTTATCTGGGTGAAATACAAGCTCCTTACCACTACATCATTCAACCATTCAAGGCTGATTACTAATTTGTTGCCCTAGCTTATGACCGAGATCCATGATTACAATATATGTATAACAAGTAATATGATGTAAAATTCACTGATCTAAAAAGAAAATAATTCAAAATAATGAGGAATGATAGTGTGATAAAACATGACTAAATGCTTTTAATATCTATGGTAAAGATAAGTACAAAAATACTTAGTTATTACAGAACAGATATGAGTGTTACAAATGTTAAGGGAGATAACTCCTACAAAAAAGGATAAATTTTTTCTGCAGAAGGATAGTTAACCTACAAGACATTACATAATATTACATAATACATCTTTGGTTATCGTTTGATAGTTAAACAACAATACAGATTGGTGTCAAGTAAGGGGTATGTAAATTTAAGGATGAGTTCACATATAAATTACATGTATATGTATATGGTCAGTTGGGTAGTGCAGTGGTAACAAAGTTGCTGTTCACTTAGGCAACCTTGGATCTGAAAAAAATTTTGGCTCATTTCCCCAAACAAAATGGTTTTCCTCAAGTTCTCTGACTTTCCTATAAAAGTTTGGTTTTTATTTAAACAATGTACATATAAAAGCCAGGAGAGGAAAATCTCGAAAAGGGAAGAAATATGAAGTGATATTGTAGGCTTGTATCAAATTAACACTTTCTAAGATTTCAAAGTTATAAAAAGCTAATTTACTTTACCAGTTGGAATTGTTCCACTGATCTCATGAGCTGTTGTGCTGCTGGTGACATTGTATCTGTGTCCACAAAACTTTTGACTTTATCCATGTTGAAGGACGATGAAACCTCTACATTATCAACATCCTCTGCCTCTGGGTTAAGGATCAGCACAATGTTGTAGATATTGAACCTCTTCATGTTACTGGTGCTAGGAAACTATAATGGAAGAAACTACAGGTGTACACAAGTATAACAATAGAATATATAAATGATTAGTTATGTCGTATTAATGAATCAAGTTAGCCTTCACAGAATAACAGGTGTTTCATATATAATTATGTTTTGGTTATGGTTCAAAGTATCCTCTCGAGAATTAACAGGGGGTATTACTATATATGTACAAATCTTTGACCGTGATAACATCTAATTGATTGATTCTTCTGAACATCGAGGGTAGAATAAGCCAGCTTTTTATATTTAAACAAATAAATATTAAATAATCCCTAATTATCTTCTTCTAGGGAAGTACAAGGGGAGAATCTGAGATATAACTATGACAATTATAACAGCATATTAACATTGTAACACTATGACCCAGAAATGCACTATACAATTTTTTGACAAAGTCAGTATTATTGATAGAAAGACTTCAGAATTTTCCATTCAAACTAGATTTATATAGTCAAAGAATGAGGGCACGGTCACTACAGCATTGACCTACAATGAAGATCCATTAAGGTGTGATGCTCCCTATCTGTTGCGGTTTGTGTTTCTCAGAAAACTAATAAACAGATTAGGCACGGCTGTCATGGTTGGTCAATACATTTTCTCCAATTGTTTTAGATGGCTATCGACAGGCATTCCATATATTATTCAGTAAGGTAGCTACCAGGTACCACAAAGAGTCCCCACCTCAAAATCACCCTTACTGTTCCTAGGACAATCAATCTAGCAAACAAACAAATATTAATATAAGCAGTAAATCATACCTTGAGTGTAAATCCAAATAAGGTCTCTCTGAGTCGGACACGACAACTAAACATGTCACTCTGGTTTTCTCCACCTTCTGCGTCTAAGCAAGGCATACGCTTGCCCCTTGATGTTGTCATGTACCCCTCACAGGTGTCATAAACCTCCAGTGACCTGGATTGACTGATAATGTCCACCCCTAGAACACTGACTCGGTACTGTGGTTTACTAGTTATGGAGAGTGTACAAGGTTCCCTGGAGTCTCCAGTCAGCTGGTCATTACTGGCACATTCCAAGGTCAAACAGCTGTCCATGAAGTTATTAGGGGGGATGTAATCTGTCCCACTGGTCTCCAATGATCTGTAAAACAATATTCAGTTTGAACCTGATCTATTCAATCATTTAACCTGACAACAAAACTGATACATATTCTAAACCTTTGACCACCCATTAAAATACAATGAAACTTTGCTGTAGAGATTATCAGTAAAATTTCCAAAAACTTAACAATTTCAATTTAACTCATTAAACCTGTACTACATAGAAGAAGCCATAATACCAAATACCAATAAAGATGCCAATGGTGACTACATGCCCATTTATCACCATTCCTCAGAGAGGTGAACTAAAGATGTATCAGTATACAAATAATATCATTTCATAGTTTTAAAGATCAGGTTCTATGTTTATTTTCATTGCTCTAACTACATACCCATCTATACTATCAAACAGGTAAGAGACAACACAAGCTGGGTCCTTGTCAAACTCCCAGGATGGAAGGACTGTGCAGTAGTCTACACCAGCCATGGACACTTCAACACCAACACTCTTCATAAAGTAAAGAAAAAATGGGATTTGCATAGTCAAATATATAATATATAAATATATAAGAGTATACAGTATGTATACACATGCATAGAGATAAGGATAAATATATTTGTACTCTTGTAGTAGAACTGGACTGGGCTAGCCTACTGAAAAGGAAATTGTTGCAAGCTTAGAAGGAATTGTTGATTAAACAAGCACAAATCTAGAGAAAGTTAAGAGAAAAATGTTGTATCTTTACATCAATGTATGATCAATAACTATTGCGATATTGTAAACTATATAAAACATTACCTGAATACTAACCATTGCAGGGGTTGCTAGTATTTGATGTTTTTATATAGGAAGAAATTCTAACGATAAGTCTATGACTAAGACAAGAAAAAATCATGGATATTTATTCAGAACCCTTTGGACTACATCATGTGCAAACATGTCAGGTGTATATACAGAGTGGACACTGTATATACACTATATCACTACCTTTATAAACTTGTAGAAATGTTATAATTTGTCTCTATGCTTGTTTGGTTTACTTAATTGACACATAGATTTTAGTTTGAATTCTTCAACTATCAAAACAATCAGTCTTTGATTTTCTGTGTTTATGAAACTCTGTGATGTAAATAGGATGTCTAGATCTGCTCTGCATTAAAAATATATACAACAACATGGAGATATTGAGTGGAAAATCTTGACAACATAAAAGCAACATTTCGACATTCAGGATAAATATATATGTATACATTATTGTATTCTTTATTCTATTTTTTTTCTTTTTTAACAGGTGGACGCAATTTTATGTATCATCACATAGTCAACTCTAATAGATAGTATTGCATTATCAATGTGTACTAGAATTTCATAGGAGACCAAGAACACGTAAAATTGTGAACTGAATATTCTGCGAAGAAAATGGAACATGCAGCCCCGCCCCCGCAGTCTAAGCTTATCCCAGAAAACTATACCAGATGTACAACATATATTTCGCCCATGCTATGTGACCTTGCGCATTGTTACCTTGTGGTGACAGTGTGGTATTTATGGAGTTCCGTCAGTATCCTTCGTGATGGTTATTACTAGCCTATTGCGATCACGACAAATCATCTACATTTATGATAAAGCGAAACGTGATTCCTTGGTCTAGTCATGCTTTCATTTTATTGTTGACACTTTTACCACATAAAAGAGTTCGGTCAGGGGCATGTAAGCCTGTTTTCGCAAACAGTATTGATTATCTCCCTTTGGTCGTATTTTCCAAGGTAGCAATACACAGTTTCTGAGTGTGAATGTACGTGGGTGGTATTTTTAATTTATTATTTTACCCTATTATAACGTTGTTTTTTAAATGACAACAAATAAATCCTTGCTAAATTTGCAATGTCATTTTGAAGCGGACAACTTGGGGCTTCAGAATAATATTTTAGCATGGTGTTAGAGATTACCATTTGAGCAGTCTCCCTCCTGTGTTTACGCAGCAAAAACTAGGTAGAGAAAATTCCCTTTATTATTGTCAGCACGTGTTCATGCTGTGAAGCCGATCTGAGCTGCAGTTTGCTGAAACGTAAGAAGTTTGTTACCACGACATTGGTATTTATTTTCAAACAGGTGTTCAGAGCTAAATTCCTCCTATGAAGTTGTAGTTTTGGATTGAAATTTGTCGGGTTTTTCCCCGCATAAGCATTTGTAGAGTTGGTAACCGTGGCAATCAAAAGTGAAATGTAAAAAGGGATTTTTTTTGGTGGATACAATTTTACATTTCTCTACTGTTACCGTAATTTTCATGTAGTTTAGTACGAGCGAAAACGCACCTTTGTGAAAACAACGTTATATTCCGAAATTACTTTAAAACGTCGTCTGCTTTCAGCATTACAGTCGAGGTCATACATGTTTATAACGTAACAAGATGGATCCGCCAACATAATGGCCAAATCAAACTACCAGCAAGAGAAAACATAGTCATTCTGCTCTCTGGATAGGAATGCGACCACACAAACTAATGCAACAGTGATCAGTGGATCCATACACACAGACAAAAGGTAGGAATCCTGCCTGAAACCGATGTACAAACCAACTTATGCCATTTGGCAACGGGATCAGCAATTACTCTGAGCAATGTCTTTTAGCCACCATCCATGTAAAAGATCATCACAGAAATTTACAATTTGGAAAGGATATCGCTTGTATAAATCGATTCAAAGCTAGGTCTGAAACTCCCACAAAAACCTCCCAAACAGCAGTCACTACACATTCTTCTCCGAAGCGCCCTAGGTCTGAAACTCCCACAAAAACCTCCCAAACAGCAGTCACTCCACATTCTACTCCGAAGCGCCCTAGGTCTGAAACTCCCACTAAAACCCCCCAAACAGCAGTCACTCCACATTCTACTCCGAAGCGCCCTAGGTCTGAAACTCACACAAAAACCTCCCAAACAGCAGTCACTCCACATTCTACTCCGAAGCGCCCTAGGTCTGAAACTCCCACAAAAACCTCCCAAACAGCAGTCACTCCACATTCTACTCCGAAGCGCCCTAGGTCTGAAACTCACACAAAAACCTCCCGAACAGCAGTCACTCCACATTCTACTCCGAAGCGCCCTAGGTCTGAAACTCCCGAATCGACTTCAAAACATGACGGGACTTCGCCTGCTTTATCCATCGACTCTTTTTCATCCCACGGCTGGGCCAGCTAAAGCATAATTGGGAACCTAGAGTATACAATTCGATAAGATATAGACACAATTAACGCGAAAACGCCAAGTTGATGAATTTTCACATACAAAACATTGTGAAAACCACTGATATCTTATGTATTTTCCTACTCCATCTGGACAACCTGTCTCCCAGCCATAACTTTCACGCGAAACTTGGGATGAGGGAAACCGCATCTCCCTTTTCAAATACCAAGATGAAATAGTGGAACGTACAATAAATGGAACGTTAAATCAGCTTAATTTCCTGATGGGCGTGAGATAATAGTGATGCTGGAAATCAACTTCAACCTTGTAATCTGCATTGTAAACGTATAAATTCCCTACCGTCTGGAAAGACTTTTAAAGAGGAATTCAATGCCGTGATCTATGAACTGGAGGAGTGTCTGGACAAATACACGTTTTCACTTGCAGTCTTAATCAGTGGTGATTTCAATGCCTCAGTGTATAGAAACCCTGCAAATGATAGAGCTCAACATTCTCAAAGAATTCGATGATCTCGTACTTCATGTCCACGCCTAACTGGAACGGGGCAACTGTAATCAGTAGTATCGAAATGGTATCCGCGACAATCTAAAAACTACAAACATTATACCAGATATCAACCCAAACCACGAAAGGAAAAAACCTAAAAGACTGAGATCAAAACGAAAACGTAAAATTAAAAGAATAAAACAGAAATAAGTAAAACAAGGTAGCGTGTGCTAGTAAGATAGAAATAAGTAAAACAAGGTAGCGTGTGCTAGTAAGATAGAAATAAGTAAAACAAGGTAGCGTGTGCTAGTAAGATAGAAATAAGTAAAACAAGGTAGCTTGTGCTAGTAAGATAGAAATAAGTAAAACAAGGTAGCGTGTGCTAGTAAGATAGAAATAAGTAAAACAAGGTAGCGTGTGCTAGTAAGATAGAAATAAGTAAAACAAGGTAGCGTGTGCTAGTAAGATAGAAATAAGTAAAACAAGGTAGCGTGTGCTAGTAAACTTGCCAGATAGGCCTGAGAGTGTGTTGGGCCACCACCAATCATGCTAACCAAGTGCTGGTCATGAAGAGCCGTTCCATGAGGGCTCAGAGGATGGCCACCACCAGGAAAAGGCGGAACAGATATCGAGAACAACATGAAGAGCAAAAACAATGGCAAGACATGCTACAATTCTATATGTTAATCCTTCGTAGGCATACTGGAATCCTCAAGACGGACGGGGATTCCTTGAAACGCCCCTGCTGATATACCAAAATGGAACATACAATCCACCAACCACGAGAAAGTACGTCATGTTAGGAAGAAAAAGTCGGATGACATCCTCGAAATTTATGGATGGAATTTTATCAACTCAGCATTACAAGCGTTACAATAGCCTTCTACTAAAGAGACCGGAGGATATATTTTTAAGATTTTTAATAAGACTTTTCAGAATGCAACATACCACCAGTTCACATGATCTTGAGTTACTTTCCGTAAAACTTGTCTGGTATGCTTGAAAATGTAGACTGTTTCAAAAATTAGAACGAGTGTATCATCAAACCTGGCGAGAGTATGGTCACAACCGATGGAAAGGCCCTCATAGTGTCGTATAGGCTTCATGACAGAAACATGCAGTTGATATGGACGAAAAAATGGTCCTTTGGAGGAAACAGCGTATTACCTGATGGGACCAGGCATTCAAGATCAAAGAAGAGAAAAAAAACTGGTTCATGACAAGACACTTAAGCCCACACATGGTGTGTATATATAGTCCCGTGACTGCACTGTGATAGTGAGACATTGGGTTACTCCCATTCAGAAATGGAAAACATCGAATATATTTGTCCATATTCTATATTGGTCGGTCACATCAAACAATGAATGCGTGATATTTTTCCCCAGAAAATTGCCAGTTAAAATCAAACCTTGGAATATTCATTAGCAGGTAAATAGTCATACAGAAAAGACATGAGAAGATTAGAGCTAGAACTTTAACCTTATGAGGTTGGGTCAAAGGTCATTGTACGATATGTTATAGAAGTGCAATATATTCCCCGAAACAGCTGTACAAATCAACACTAGTCTCATAACTCAACAAATCAACCTTTAGCTCATCTGAACTCGATAACAATTCAAGTGCTAGATTCAATGCATATCACATCATGGCAAAATAGTTGGAGTTGACAAAAACTCATTTTAAAGTCGTTCTTGATTAACTCATGTGCTGTTTTATTGTTAAATGATATCTCGTATATCAAAGGAGCACTAGTGCATAGTTCAACAGCGGAGGTGTGAGAACGTAACTTAGATAAATCATCCAATAATATTTCATGATTTTGTAGTTTGTGATTCAATTACCAAAGTGTTAATGTAGGAATGATCTGTGAATATTTCTACCCATTCTGTACATCTATTGGAACAATTGTCGTGTAAATAATTGAGAGTCACCAAACTATGTCTTACTGAATAGAGTCTGTTATTGTACATGAATATACTACATAAGTGGTACCAAACAATTCGAGAACCAGTACCGGAAAATGAGGCTAATCATATCTTGCTATCGTAGTCTGAAGGTGATTAAGGTACTGTAAATAATCTATATTTCGCGTGGGATTTATTTTCGCGTCAGTACGGGAGCAGTGCCAATCACGAATTCAAATTTCTCGTGACAACTTGGCATTCCTTTGTTTTCTTTGTTTTACAGACACTTCAGTTTTACGTGGAGATGCACTAGAAATTAAACATGATGGAGTCGAATAATGAGTAAACTGCATCATGCAGCTGTTTCGTCCTTATGTGTCTTTTGTACAAACTATTTATATTTCTCCACTTGGTGGATATGAATACTAATGTGAACGGTTTTCCCCGATTTCTGTATTCACTATGTGACATTAAAAAGATTGACAATAACTCGAAGATGAAGATCTATAAAAACCGTCCGGATCAACTCCTATAGAACGATCAAACGATCCTCTCTATTCAGGCGATCTATAAACAATAATTTACCTTTCTCTTAAAAGACGTGGTTTCTACTTACGGATATATACATACTAAGCAGATAGATATTGTTTTATGCAGCAATAACAACTCTTTGTGATTTTCTTTTGATGTATTTTCATATCTTTCAAGATTCCTAACAAATGAACATTGGCCCACAACACGAACAATGGCGTAACTAACAAGATATTCCCATTACGGGCACATGATGTCAGGAGCCTTCCGTATTTGCGGATTCCTAATCCTCTGTAGAGTTTGGTGAGGCATCTTTCCAATCAATAACTCTTAGGTAGCAGTTCATTTCCGGATTTTGCGATGTTTATGATAAGTTTTTTTATATTGATGTCTACTCAATTCTAATTATCTGTTCATATCGATCTTCAACTCCAGATTGTTATTGTGTTGTGACGATACCGTACATGAAGTTCCTGCTTAGAAAATTAGAAAATATGAACAAAAGTCATGGAGACTCCAGGAAAATAAAGGAGAATAAAACCAGGTGTTCCAGAAGAGTAAGCCTCTTCTGCTTCATCGACGACACCTGTCATGTCAGCATTGGTATATCCATGTAATGTCACTTTCTAGAACGAGAAAAAGGTATAGAACAACGTGACCAACGGGCAAACTAACGAGCATCATATCCCACAAAGAAACAGAATATTTCTCAATAAGATCACTATGAGGACCGTACAAATTACATCAAGTTGTAACTTTTGAAAACCTGTGTTATGCGTTTGTAAGTTGACATTTCTTGCACGAAAATCGTGAAAATTGGAACGGGCACTTGGATATCGAATGGAATCCAGAAATGGAAAATTCACAATAGGGAAATTCAAATTATTACGCGTATCATACAGTTTGGGGGAAAGCTGTTCATATTGGTGTCGTTTTAGGAAAAGATCGAAATCATCTGCTGATGCAGTAGAGTCTATTGTGTCCTTTGTTTCCAATTCTGGTGGGTATATACGATGGACGTGGTCAATAAATTTCTTGTTATTTAGAAACAATATATCATCTAATACTAAAAGATCCCGAGGTAAAGGCCAAAATAAGTTCGAACAAAAATGTTTGAATCTCAAGCGAAATTTGTCAGAAGTGTCCATATAACATGAAAGTTGTTTTTATGATAAAACACTTCTTACATGTGTTAGTTTTACTAGTAGTAAACCCATGTTAGTTCCGTAAATATAAAAATGTTCGAATATAATATGTACTAATCTGTGATATTCTAATTCTAGATCGACCAAACTTTGACGTTATATCGAGAGATTTACAGAATGTCGACCGTAATATCGTACCTAAAGATATCACAATGCACTCTTAAAATGTATCAGTAGATTACGCAATAGACACAGAAGCGAATAGCACATTCCAACAAAACCAAGAACGGACACAGTAATGCTAAATAATGAATCAAAGTGCAACAGACAGCTGTTCCTTTCCTCTAAGGTCACATGTGATGGAAGAAAATCATGTACTGCTAAGATTTAATAATTCATTTCTATATCTTGTGACACAAGTATCGGATAATCGAATTTCATTGCGTCAAGCTAAAAGCAGAAGCATTTCTAAATAAAATCATGATGATGACAAACACAACTATATCTTTCAGTGGTCGAATATCATTGATATTAATAAATTACTTTACTAACAATAAGCTGAAAACTCACAAAAGGGAATGTAATCCAATATTTTCAATTAGCTCATTAGCAGGCCGTGATTGCTGATTATATTTCAAATAAAGACCTATGAAGGTGAACGATGTGATATCCGAAGGGAATATTGAAAGACCTGACATTCCTTACTACCAACTGTGATTTAATTGATACAACTGGAGGAAGTCACGGTTTGACATCATTGGTATTATATATATACAATTTTGTTTATTCGAAATACCGAATTAATTTAAAACGTTGTCAATCAGTAGGTTAATCTTCCAATTTGACAAAGTGCTCGAGTTTGCGGTATTGTCTCACCAATATGTTTCAGTTGCTTGGCAAATTTGAGTTCAAGTTGTTATTGTTTCAAAAGAAAAAGAAAACAAACACAAAAACAAAAGAAAACAACCCGCCCCCAAAACAAAACCCAAGCAAACAAAACAAAGCATTGCCAATACGAAGACCTGCTCAAGATTCAGTACTTCGTATAGTGCTTTATGGTGAATGTAAGATCTCTCACGGTTCATAGGTCAAATAGTCAACCTTAAACATAAACTATCAACTTTTACCGCTGTCACTCAAGTTCGGGGCGGATTTTCCCATTCACACCCAGAGCGAAGTACGGTGACAGTTTTAACAGTACATACAACAGTAGAATGGCAATCAAATGACTGCTATAGAGACGTAAAGTAGTACCCGTGTATTTGATTACAAAGTGACTTATTTCCTAACTTATTGTTCGCTTGACTGCAGCAGCATCATTAATATTTTACAGCGTATCATATTGAGATGGAGGTTGAAGTACTGTAGACATTAGGCACTTATTATCAGGTGATGTGACGCCGGTTCCAGTGTTCTTCACCAGATATGGATTAATTACTACACTGAGAATCGGTAAATAAGCACACGCCAGCTTTAGGGCTCTTGGCACTACTTAACATCCCCAGTTATCTCATATTTATAGCTAAATTTCTCGTCTTATCTACCACTATCGAGATGGCAGGAATGAAATTGACCAGAATCTAGCTCGAGTAGTGGATTTGTGACATAAATAACTGCGTAATTTAGTAATGTTTGTAATGTTCTTTAAGTTCCCCTAAAAGGCATAACCAAATCCAGGTCTAACGCCCATCTACCCAGATTTTAGCCAACATCTGTAGACACATTAAACGGTATTTTTTAAAAAAAGTTCATCTTTGTATCATTGTTTTTGTGAGATTAATCTTGTGAAACATACGTTTCATTTCTTGAATGGTCAACCAGGAATTAAACCTGCTAATCTATTGTATGATGCGACCATCGCGATTAAGGTTTGATGAAAACAGCATATATCTATTGAGTAATGCGACCATGTACTGACAGAAGTCATCCCGATATATTTCACCACAAAACATCTATGGATAATCCGTTCTATGATTATATACTGCGTTATCGTATTCTAATGTCTGTATGTAATGTCTGTACAAATGTTTTTTAAAAATACGATTCTAATATCTTACCAAATCAGTAATTATTTCTATTTTTGACAGGGATTTTTAGATATTGACTCCAAATAAACAGATTTCACGTCAATGTCCTTCAAACTTCGTATTCTCTTAGATTTGATCTTTAAGCTGGTTTGTTTTGGAAAGGAAACCCAGAACGCTGTAGGAGGTAATGTAGCAGATAGATTTAACGAAGTGGACAGATATCGTATTAATTGAAGCGTTACTTAGATGTAATTGTTGTTTTCTCAATATATTGCTGAAATCTTCTATCAATATGCCTTGCAGTAGGTCATGAAAAAATGAAAGATAATTTATCAGCAAACTGATATAATATCGCCACCATAAGTATGAGAGTTGTCAAGAATACAAAAGAATTTTTTTTCAAAACTTTTTCATTTTCCCTTTACACCGTATCAACATTATCACCTATGTTTGCAACATAATGAAATGTTATTAACAACTAATACAGTAGCATGTTCAGAACGTTTCGATTTTATTAACATATATCAATGACACAGAGAAGCTAAACCCTTGGATTTCGAAGTTGTCCCCGAAACAAGGTCAATGCAAAATAGACACATTTAATAGGAAAAAAACAGACTGTTCATTAATAACGATACTTATAGCAAAAATACAAGCGGTAGCTCAATTTATATAACGGAAATAATTATAACATATATGTACATGTAGAGTATTGTACCAGATTGTGATTTGTCATCCTGGTTTTAATATCTAGTACATTTATTGTCATGACTAAACAAATATATATCCAATTTCTACGGACCACCAACACAAATGTGTCCTATATCATCGTACATTTCGGGGGAAACGGGTGGCATCCGCTGTAATGAAGATTTGTGATCAAACGACATTTTCTCACGATATACAATACATACTAACCATATCTAGGCGGAACTTGAGTACTACACTTCAACTGTACTAAAAACACTTTAATTATAGATAATTACATCCATTTTAGTGTTTATAGCCACATCCATTGATAAAACGTGTGTGCCTTGCACACAATACCACATAAGATGTACTTGTCACAGTTAACATAACATCCTGTTTATACCTGGCGAGTGTCTTAATCTAACGTTAAAACAAACTAAAACAAGTTAAATAACACAGTAATCGAAATGTGCAAAAGAAGTTTGTAACATCTGCATTGAGCAATTTGTCGAAGCTAAATTGGTTGCCTCCGATCAGATTCACTATCTAGTCATGTTTTCACTGTTGCTCGAGTTCTGGCTGTAACTTATGGCGCGGATACTTTGACGTATAGAGCTCCCTGTCCCACTTGTCGACACCGCGTTTTTGCACGCGAAACACTTGAAGATGGCGCGCCGTATTTTATCGTTAATGACACCATAAAGAAAAGGATTGACACATGCGTTTGCAAGGGCGATACAAACTGTAATAATGAGAGCAATTGAAGGAACCTGCATATTATCCATCATGCCATCGATGAGAATTATGACGAAAACAACGAAGATTGGGAGCCACATCAACATGAACAGGAACACAAGCAGTAGTAATGTTTTTATCAATTTCACGTCTCGTTGATCACGATTTTTTCGGGTCTTCAGGGAATTTGAATTTAGTACGTCGACTCTGTTGTGATTATGTAAAATAGCACGTCGTGACCCCACAAATTTGCGAATAATTTTGAAATAGTTCATACTCATGACAGCAATTGGAATGACAAAACCAAGCAAACAACTAAGAACAGTGAAGAAGATAGATGCACGGAACCCACTTGTCTTTGGCCACGACAAAGTACATATAGTGACGTAATCATGTCCGAACAGAAACGATCTGGTGTGAAAATACAACGCAAGTGGAATAAAGCACAACAAGCAGACGACCCACGTGATTATGATAATGGCGACTGCCACTTGTGGGGTCATCTTCTTGGAAGTTGTTTTATTAATACATATATGTCGGTCAATACTAATCACAGTCATAGTCCAGATCATGACCATGGCACAAGTAAACAGAAGGTAAACAAATACTTTGCACACAGCATTACCAAAAATCCAATCACCTGTTAAACGCGTGATTGCAATGAAAGGACTTCCGAATGAAAACAAAATGTCTGCCATTGCCAAATTGGCTATCATGCAGTTGGTAACGGTTCGAGTGCTCTTTGTTTGGAACATCTGGTAAAAGATCAGGATATTACCGAACATGGAAAATAGAAATAGGACAATGAATACCAATGCCTCTATGTAAGGTAGTCCCGACCATGGACGGTTGAATTCCGACATGAACGTGAAAAAGGAAGAGTTCCCAAAACCGTACTCGTGAATGCCGTAGAACCAGGACTTGTTGAAGTATGAGTCCCCCATGGTGATATCATCAGCGTCCTCATTCACTCATTGTTCATGATCTGGAGATATAAATTATTGATTAATAACATTTAAAATTAGCATTGAAGCAATCGATAACATGCAAATATATACATTAACATTACATTTTCAACATTACATTGCCTGTTACTATGGTGACGTTCACGTGGAACATGATAGTTATATATTATAGCAGGTAAAGGCAATTTGTCGAACTTCATTGAAACATAGGGCAAGTGCACGGCTATATTTAGGTCCTTAGCATTACTGACAAGTACTCAAAGGACAAATTAGCTTTAATGTTGAATTCATTATTTGGCTCTACTGTATCGAATTATTAGTTTTATTGAAAAGTGCAATTCACTTAATACTTTTTAATGATATCATTTCCTTGTATCAGCTATGTAAACAGAAAACTAAAACATACAGAAGTATATTGTCAATACTCATCAGCAAAGCTATTTATGACTTCTACGTAAGGTAGACGGAACGTTTGTCAACTTAGAATACAAAATTGCAAAAAAAGATATGATATTTGTATTGTTAATCATTAACAGATTCTGAAAGTTAATGAAATTAACCACGTGTTTAAAAGGAAACATACTGAAGGAACGTAAATCTTCAAATTCCCAACTTCCATTTATAGACAAAGGATTTTTTATCAAACTATTTTGATTAAGACTTTTGTTTAACCAATATGTATGTATCTGCTGTTTGACCGGTTCCTTAAAACACAGGAAGAAGTATTGGAAACTTGTTCATTGTGTCTAATGAAAGGATTAGACGTGAAAACATTTCTTGCTGTACTTGGTCCCTCCTCTTACATTAACGTCATTAACCATAAACAATCACAAAAGGTATAAAATGATAATGATGATAAACAAGAAAACCCAAGTGTAAAATACTGGAAGGGGAAAACAGAAACACCCTAACAAATACTTATTGAAATAGACAACATCATCAATACAAAAGTGACATTCAAGAAAAAACAAACCATCAGCACACTTATGGAAATTACCGTTGAGACACATGTGTGAATTAGAAAACGGGGCATCACAATTTACAAATATGAACTTTAAATTGGTGTGAAATAGAAAGCAAAGAAAACATCGTCAACACACAGAAAGATAAACATAATCTCGATGTTTACGTGAAGGAGGACAACTTGCCCAATATTTGAGACGTGGTCGCCGGATTAAATTAGGTCCAAATGCTACTAAAATCGATGAAAAGATTATTAAAATCCTAAGTTTGACGAGCTTTGAATAACGTACCTCTTCTTATTTTAAATGTCTATACATGTATGCTTATGACAGACCCGTAATTATTGTCGATTGGACCATCAGCAATAATCAAATTCTACGAGAGGGTTTACAGGTATAAGAATTTAGGGACTATTACTATCATTACACTAACAGTCTAACTGGATATTCACGCCACGAAAACGGGCATGCTGTTATAAATCGCCAGATAACTCTTTTTCGTCGGTATTACAACATCTACGATAGGAAAAATAATTCTGACGCAAACCTTGTAGCTGTCTAGCATACTGATTTCATTTCATTCTAGAAGCTATCCAGACAGTCATTCAAAACTGTTTTTTAGTTTAAGTCCTAAATCAAGATAAAGTCATTATTTTGAATTCCCTATCTCCGACATCCTACCAATATAGACAGACAAAACTCCTAGCAGACTTGACAAACCAGATGCACAAGCCATTCTACTGTAAGAATAGACCTAATTAATTAACATCCAAACATAAAATAATCATGTAGGCTGATTAACATTACATAAATATCTATACATGGCAAATTAATGTCTTTGGGAAATATTTCTGATTCCACAAGACCTTTCTAACTTCTCTGTCCAAGCGCCTGTCTACTTGTCCGAACCGATGTAAGAGGACGTTAACTAAGTTAATACTAAGGTAAATACGTTGCAGCTTGTTCAAGTTTACACAAACATTATTACGGAAAAAAGTCAAAGACTTGACATATATAGTTCATTACAGCTAAGTCGAAATCAAACAAATTGTATCAGAATCAATTTTATAAGATAAGGCTGTAATGCCAATGCCTAGCGTTGTTTTGACAACCAAAAATGGCTAGCATGACCAAGAGTTGACTTATGCTAGATGTGAATTATTATGGCAAAACTATGAATTCGAATTGCAAACATCACAGATCAAATACAGAGTTACATTATCAATAGCCTTAACATGTTTTTTTTCTTCTCTATTTCCTTCTCTTGCTTTGCATAAAATGTCTTAACCAATATTGTACAAAAGTCACTCCAGCGAATAGCAACTTTTAACACAAATTCAGATAAGATACAGCACAGTCAAACAATATATAAAATTTCATCATACAGTTGTTTCGTCCTTCTAGGAACTGACAGTGATGCAACGGGCCTAAATTGTAAAGATAGGAGGCGATTAAAGATAATCCTAAGTGATCGAAAGAAATTTAAAAATCTAGATGTGGAGGTGCACTAGTCCCATACTTAAAGTTAATTTCGTATATCATATCTCTGGTCATTTTTGAAAGAACGTAAAGTACATACGTATTTTCTAAATTGTTCCACTATTCGCATGAATTAAAACGTGGCATACAGGTTACGGCAAATATTGGGGACGAATCGTCCACCAGCAGTGTCTATCACCTGCAATCTCGAAAATTGTACAAAAGACACATAAGTGAATAGCTTCTTTGTATACAAATTTGAAAAAGACACAGTCGAGCCAAACAATGAATTAAACTGCATCATACTGTTATTTCGTCCTTCACGGTAAATTGATACGAGATGATCACCTACATAGCATGAAATTACTTATCATGTAGTGTTCTTTATGAAAAAGACTTTCATACCATCTTTTCCGTTGAACGTTGATAAATAATGTTACAGTGATGTCATACATTGTAATTGTATTTGACGTCAACATGGAGATCATTAATTAAAACGAAATGTACTTATTGCTAAAATAATGGACGTTTTCGTTTGATTTCACTTCAAATGTGATAAATAACAGTTAACGAGCACCTTTGATACTTTGACAGACAGTGTGAAGTTCGAGCACAACTTATACCACATATTCCATTCAAGAGAAAATATAGTTATTCATATGGAAAAGTGAATTAGTTTCTTACTTCTTCACTCCCTATAGGATACACGTCTCATATCCCACCTCTCACTGAAAGCTGTACACAAAAAAGTATGCTGGTATGTTACTAATAATATCACGATATAATTACATTACAAATGACAAAGCCTATTGTTTGTTACTTTTTTACACTCTGTTGTGGTTGGTTGTCTATGATGTGGTAATTTCACTGAGAATAGCATCAACGTCATTTTAAATCATACTTCATTAGTGAACTGAAATACAAAATGTTTTAACAATTATAAGCATTACCTACTTACCTGATGGCGAATCTTCAGACTTACAGCTGGGGTTATTCAGCTCAATCACTTCTTACACAAAATCCTGTTTTATATAATATTCAAAGTAATTAATAAGTTATCACCATCAAGAGTTGTTTGATAAAACAAAAACATCCGACGAAAGTATTTTGCCAGCAGAACTTTTTATCAGCAGTAGTTTACTTTTTTTCGGAAAATGCACAGCAAATATGTCGAAGTGTAATATATAGCTGTTTCCGCAGATCTTTTAAAAAAATAGTCCTCGGAACACCATAGGATATCTGATATCTACAGCAGTTTTATCCGTGTTCATGAGCAATATATTTCCTCGTCTCTTGATAAGAAATTTTCTCTGTAAACCAGGCATGTTTCAGATGTCTTGATATGAAGACAGCTAAACATTAGTGCTTGGTGCACGCAATTACTTAAGTATATAAGGATATCCTTTCAGTCCACTTAACCAACACATATCTGTGTCAATCTGGTAATGCCCTCGATAATCACATCTACTTACACCGCCAGGCGCAGAAAATCGCCTACCCATGTAGTCGTGTAAATCAATTGATTGAGCTGTAAATTATTACAGGTAATTTGTCATCTTAAGTTAATATTGGTGTTCAATATCTGCTTGTTATCAGCCACTGTAGCAAAAACGCTTGGGAATAGGACCAGTAGTAAATCTTACACTCAACAGCCAGACTGTTCACGTCATCCTCATCCCTAATAAAACTAAACTCGTTTCAAAATAGATATATTTTAAACAGATAAAAATTAGCGACTCAACTATCATTGTTTAAACAAGACTGTTATACCCAGCACGTCCTAGTCAAGGCTTACGAGTGCAGTTTTAATGATACGATATCTTGGTCGATAGTACAGATATATGGTGCTACCCGTGTCAGAGTACTGTATTGACACACGTTGATTATACCACTACTGGTCTTAATAAGTACCCTTCACAGTTATGTATTACACTGGATGGCAGAGTACTATCCGCCATCCCCGCTCATAGTGTTGATAACACATTAAGCATTGTCGCTTTGATACCTCCTTTTTGATAGATTAAACTGTGGATTGATATATACTTGAAATACTGCAACAACAACAAGAAAATGCCAACACGTCAACATAAGCGTAATCTAACCCCAAATTCATTAAAAGCAGGAGAAAATATGAGCAAAAGAAAGATTTACTTAGACACTCCTGAAAAAGTACAAGACGATTAAGTCTAGGTGTTCCAGAAGTCAGGTAAATATTGGTCAATCCAGGTAAGTGATGTCACGTTCTCAAATGAGAATACGGTATACCACAACAGAGCCAAAAGGTAAACTAACGAGCATCAAACACGTCCAGCTTTATATCGCACAAAGACATATATCCGCCAGATCCGCCAACAAACAAGACATTCCCATGGGAACAAACTGGGTCCCTCTCTTAATTGAATTGTCTTTTTTCCCATACGATTTAAATTGACGTAAAAGGCCATAATGACCTTTATTTTCAGTTTCAGATGTCTTATTTTTAAACAGCGAGAATTTTTCATTGACTATAGTTATCGTATGTAATTGAATCGGATCACAAATCTCACCGAAATTGGAAATGAAGGACATGATAGACTCGGCCTTTTCATACAACGAAATCACATGGACTGTTTTCCATCGAGCTGTAATGATATGCGGAACAATTTCAGTTTTTCTATGGGAATCTTCTATTTCTAGACAGCATCTCCAACATATAGTGTTATAGATCACGATTGTTGTGCAAAATGTCAGCATCTGACATATAAACTCACAACACAGGGTTTCGAGTGATGCAGTTTATGAGGAAGAACTACGGTGTTTGTGATGATCTTATCTGGAAATTTTCTATTTTCTTGTGCGATAAGAAAAAAAAAAGGCTATTCGCTTGGTGGTTAAGTTGTTTTTGGGAATCTGACATCAATCAGCAGAATGACAAAGGTTTACGTAGTCGTCAAAGCAGAAGACTATTACTTCTCCAGAACATATAGTCTTATTCTTCTGGAAGTGTTTCATGTGTTTCCCGTTAAATATGTCTTTAGTTGATGGTTTACCTTAGTTCTAGTTTGAACAAAGTGTTTGATGATACATCGGTCTTTTTGTTAGTAAGAATGTTATGGAAAGTAAGAAGCAACACCTGTTCAGACTATGCAAACGAACTTATGTTCTTTTAAACGTGAAATGTTGTAAAAGTGTATTTTCAAACCATTGAAAAATATACCATTTAGTGTCATCTACGTCAATCCTCTATAAACATGTCAATATTTGTAAAAAACTATGTGTATACCATAATGATCCTTTTTGTAGTTTACATAAATAAAATGTCTTCTATCGATTCCATCACAAATCGAACAATTCAATGCTGTAAAAACTAACGGATATAAAATATTATCCCTTCGAAAGCCTTATGTTAAAGTAAAAGGCAGCAGAACAAAACACCATCTAATCCTCGCCGCACATTTCTCCTCATTTGTAGCGTGTTAGCATGATCATGTTTGGCTTGCTTATTACAAAATGGTGATCTCTGACTACCTGAAACACTGGTGATAATATCGAATGGCGTTGCGTGGTCAAGACAACAAATACATCTAAAATGCGGTTGTAGAGAGCTGTAGCATGGAAAATGGTAAAAAAAAAAAAAAAAACTGTGGGAGGAAAGAGAAATACCTGTCTACGGAAAATATTTCAAGTTCAAATGCTGAAAAAAATGCTTTGGTTGTATAATGTCATAGCGTTAGACCTTATATGATCGGAACACACGTGTATACTAAAGTTATCCGAGTTGTCTTTCTTTCATTTGAGAAACATGATGAAATGATGACGTGTTTTTCACAGTATATATATCTTATATATCTGTTTCGGCCAGTTCTGCTTTTCTGAACGCGCCATCTTGACTTCGACTTGTCAAATGGATAATTAGGTAATGTGGTTTAAAGGACTATTCTTATATTTCCATGTATTTGCCAATACAGCTGTACACATCATAAAATTTGTGTTGAAATGTGATATCCACGAAGTCCACCAATTACGTTTAGACATAAGCTCCCTACATACACAAATGAGGTATATCTTCGGCTTATTGCTGGCTAAACAAGTAAATGTAAAATGTGTGAATAGATGCACTTTAACTCTATCAATAATTCGGAATTTGGTGTAAGGGGGTGTAACTCCCACTGCCTTGTGGATCTTGTCTGCTATATTGTGAAAAATGAATTAAATCAGGGGAATATAGAAGCAGTCCTTGGACATTTCTGGGAGACTCGAAGTGTCCGACGGCAGAATGCAAACGATTTAGGATGTACGAAAGTTATATGACCAACATTTATGTGATAAAACTTTTGTTACGGTGCAGATATTTGACAGAAACATTTATAAAAAGTGATTCAAAAGTAAATAGTTAAATCAAAGTGAAGAAATAGACACTAATTATTTTTCTTGCTACATTTCTTCTTTCACTACAGGTGTCCAATTTATTTAAAAAAATTTAGAATAACAATTTGTTTTTATAGTTGCTTTCTCTATCGTTAATGTTTAAAAAAGTGTTACTGACATAAATTCGTAATTTTCTGACATCCAACTTTTTAAAGATTTCTAATGGAGAATATTTTCTCGATAAAAAGAGAATAAGTTGATGTGTTGTATTTGTTTATCTATCACTGTTATAAAAAGCTAATCGTTGATAACTCTTTACATATTAGTGTATTTAAAAAGCAGCTATATCTAAGAAAGGATGTTTTTCTTTGGAGTATCCTAATATTGGTCAAGAGGTCCGGTGACATATGACACAGCGGTCGTGGTGGAGAAAAAATCAGTGTGCTGGGAAACGATTAAGTATTCACCGAATTCATCCATATATTTATAAAAGTACTAGACTCAAGGAATTAATAAGTAAATAAAAATGTAACAAAATTAAATGAAAAATAAGTCCCGGCTGAGCTTCGAACCCAAGACATAACCACGTTTCTTGTTTTAAACTATATAGCAACTGTACCGTAAATTTATCGACTGTTTCTCCACAGCAGTACTAACTTGCTACTTAAGAAAAGGTAGTTGATACATTAAACTTCTTGAGTACCTGCCGAGTCGTTTAGAAGTTTTTCAATACCGACTCTTTCAAACTCCGATATACTTTCATATCCTCGTGTGATCAGATCATCTAATTTAGCCAACATGTACTCGGATCCGTTGTTGTTAAGTCATTAAAATAATTGTTGTTATATAAATTCTTTATTTATCATTCATCTTTTCTTCAATTTTCACCAAAAGCCATTTTTCAAAGAAGAAGGAGCAAATGGAATAGTATACATTCGAGTTCTTAAAATCTAGGAAAGTGTTTTTTTAGATTCATGTGCTTATTCACGTAAAAATTTGAAATCTAACCTGGTCTTCAAGAAAAATACTTTAGAAAAAACCGTTAGCAACGGAAAAACGCTGAAAATGTTGACCGAATCGCAACATTCAATACGTATACGCTGTCAAGAACCTGGTCCACATGAAAATTTCTCGAATCTAACTTAAAAATACAACGATAGACAACAAATTACGTAAAAACTCAAAATACTGAGATATAGCGCCATGATTATTCTTATACTGAATTTCATGTTCTAGCCTCTTTCCAATCAAACCCAATTTCAATACCTCCAGTGCTAATGAGATGACAAAATAGAAATCAAAGAATGATCAACGGCGAAACTTCTTGTTTTCATTTTTTTTTTTTTTTTTGTGGATGCAGTTTCTTAGATCGGACTGTGTTACTTACACATTTTCTCATATCGATAAATGGAATATAGGGATACAAGCATTGCAAAGCAAATCCTTCTGGACCTTGTTGAAAAAAAAATCCAATGTTTCGGATAGGACATCTGAAGTGATTCTGTGAAGTCCGTGTACTGGTATCGAATTGACACGTGATTATTTATTCAAACTTGTGATCAAAGTTCCTGTACTTTTAGGCAATAATGCGTTCTAAATGATTTCTTAGTTGATAAATTTTGCGACGCCATGTCGACCTATTGAGAATCTCCTATCGAATAACTTTGAAGTATTATGTCGATAAAATATGAATAAGATCCACGGGAGGAAAATCTAATTACTAATTATATACTGTCCACTTAATACACACGGCCGTCTGAAAACGTGACGTCATAACACAACTTCAATAGCCTGTTCTTCATGATCATCAGATACACCCTCATGTGAATCTGTAACAACTGATGTGTTGTGTGCACTAAATTATTTACCTATCATATATTTAAAGGGTCCCGCTACACTATTCCGGCATTCTGTAGCTAATTACCTCTGACACCGAAGATTACAACACTAGAAACATGTCAGTCAAACTCAGTCAATTATCTTTCAAATCAAGT